TATAGGGGTTAATATATTTTGCTGACATGTTGAGTCAGTGATGAAAAACGACCCGGATATTACTAATAGGTTATGGGAAAACTGGCCAGCAAGACGAATCATTAAATTCTTGGTAAACCTGGGAAGTAAATAGAAACGCCAGTGAATCATATACCTTCATTTTTTTCTTTCGAATAATGACATAATAAATTCCCTACAAGGAAATGTATCCATTAATGTTTGTGTTACGCATTTTTATTATAATCTTGAGGAATCTGTTCCTTCCCCTCCTCGTCGTGGTTACAGGATATAAGTTATGTTTTTATTATTCCAAACAATAATAACAAGAGACTTAAGAGTTACCGCCGTTCGACTTGTGTTAGCCTCCGGAGGACACAGATAATATGCTACTGTTCGACACTGTTACATTGCCCTTTCTTTTAAGCTCCTTTTGTGTTGGTGGTGGTGTTGGTGTGTGGATTAGTGGATGTCATGTTTTTTACCTGACCTCATGTTTTGTAAGGTCACCCTGCGTGTATAAGCCTCTCTTACTCCTTGTAATTCAGTTGCTCTAAAGATGTCTTGAATAAAGACGAAAGCTAAGGTGCTCCATTGTTTCCTTTGTCCTGTGTGATTTTATCAACATTTATCTTATCCACGTTTCCATTGTTTGATGGATTAGCTGTTATGTGGCAGTGGGTCACTTGGGAGTTAACTAAGGTTGACTGTCTATTCTATAAATTTTCTATCTATTTATTCTAGTCTCACTAGGTCTCTTCATATATATATATATATATATATATATATATATATATATATATATATATATATATATATATATATATATATATATGTATATATATATATATTATATATATATATATTTTTTTTTTCATGTATATCCAGAATGAAAACGTGGATAAGATAAATCTTGATAAAATCACGCAGGGAAAAGGGAAACAATGGAGCACCTTAGCTTTCGTCTTTATATGTATATAGTCTGTACTCACCCCTGAAGATGTGAATTACACGAAAGCGCTTGGGAACTTCGTGTTTTCTTTTTCCTTGTGGTTATCAGCATATATATATATATATATATATATATATATATATATATATATATATATATATATATATATATATATGGAGAGACCTAGTGAGACGAGAATAAATAGATAGAAAATTAATAGAATAGACAGTCAACCTAAGTTAATTCCCAAGTGACCCACTGCCACACAGCAGCTAATCCATCAAACAGACCGCGCTGAACTTGGCCCGTAAACTCACACAAGTTAAAATGTTTATATTGTTGACTATTTATACTTATTTTACCTTTACATTTTTGTAGTTACTCTTAGGTGATGAACAGTAATGAATTGCGTGTGAAGATTATTCTTTTAATATATATATTGCTTTGCTCACCATAAGCTAGCTGCATCTACCTGAACCGTGGGCCACACTAAATAGAATTTCTCAGTCACTCTGCGGGCCGCATGGTTTGGGCCGCGGGTTTCCCATGTCTGCCTTACATGATCTGTATCTGAAGGAGAGTTTAATAATCATTATAAAATGCGCAATCGAATTTATCAATAATTTTGCTTCAATGGATAAGACGATATTTGTTGAGAAAAAAATCATCATACTTATTTACACTGGTTCAGTATGTATGTGCCTACGAGTGTTTGAGTCGATAAATAAGAGTACCTCACGTGTGTTTGGGGCGATAAATAAGAGTACCTCACGTGTGTTTGGGGCGATAAATAAGAGTACCTCACATGTGTTTGGGTCGATAAATAAGAGTACCTCACGTGTGTTTGGGTCGATAAATAAGAGTACCTCACGTGTGTTTGGGGCGATAAATAAGAGTACCTCACGTGTGTTTGGGGCGATAAATAAGAGTACCTCACGTGTGTTTGGGGCGATAAATAAGAGTACCTCACGTGTGTTTGGGGCGATAAATAAGAGTACCTCACGTGTGTTTGGGTCGATAAATAAGAGTACCTCACGTGTGTTTGGGGCGATAAATAAGAGTACCTCACGTGTGTTTGGGTCGATAAATAAGAGTACCTCACGTGTGTTTGGGTCGATAAATAAGAGTACCTCACGTGTGTTTGGGTCGATAAATAAGAGTACCTCACATGTGTTGCCCGCATGTTGTTTCTCGCCTCACAGGTGACACATGTGGTGACTGACAGACAAGGTACCCCAACTGGGAGATGGTGGGGACGGGGGACGACGGATTCCACCAAAGTTGTCTTGTCGCTGTTTATAATATACTGTAGACTTACAGTGCAGTACAGTATTTATAAAGGAACCTTAGTTTACTGTAAAAGACTATTAAATTACGGAGTTATTAAGCGCTGTTTTCACAATCACAATAGTAGGCGTTATATTGTAGTGGATCTCCCCCCTACAACTGCGTATCTGCATTCCAATGTGACAGTATCCTAGCAACCAGCGAGCTGCTCGGGGGGGGGGGGTCGCCACCTGCTACGTCTACCCTAGCAACGGAGTCAAGCAACCGGCGAGTTCCCACGGGTTTACTTCCGGCTGCTGTGTATATAAGCTCTCAGTCTCTCCATTGAGATTCATTCTACCCTACGTTTCTGAACACGCTACATCTCCTCTAACGAAGCTCGAGCACAGATACCTCCTCAAGCACACTACTCTCTGAGCTACTCACTGAACGTGTTTCTTGAGCAAGCTTCTCACCACACGGCATCTCCAGCAACAGACTGTCTTGTATATAATATATTTTATATAAGAAAACCACCACCTAGAGTTTCCATCCATCCATCCTGAGTGCTAGACAACATAACATCACGTAACCCTACAATATTTCCGAACACTTGATTACAATTGCCTATATGACATTGACTTCACATTTAATTACCCTTTAGTTACATATTTTTGTGTTATATGTTGCTGGACTCTTGTATAGCAGCGTGTCACATGTACCGAGCCACCTGCGAGGGAAGGAATATAACATTTGCGGCCATCTGTACATTGACAGTTGACATCATCCAAGAGGCTCATTTTAATGTGAAGATAAATACAGCCTCAGGGCCACTCACAAGACAGAGAAAGTAATGGTGTATGTGAGACGTGACAACTACAATGGAGTGCTTGGACCAGTCTAAATATTTTTGCTTATTGCCTAAGAGTTTCTACGATTAGCCTGGCCCGTATTGACTCAATCTTTTTGTCCATCCCGTGGGTTACTCCTGGACGTGTGGTAGTCAGTTCGTATCTGCTTAGTTGTTAGTAGCGTAGCCCCTGATGTACTAGATTGTGGATATTCTAGTTCTTGGCTACGTTTGATTTGCTAGTCCGTGTTCCATTTGGCTTACTAGTAATGTAGCTTAGTGCTATGCATGGATTACTAGCAGCCTAAAATAGCCCCTAGACTAGTGTAAGCAGAGTAACACACCACCTTACTGACTTGCTTTACTTAACGTGAGAAAAACTTTACCCATTTGGGGGAATTTTCCTGAACAGTTATATCAGAATTATGCTTCATTCACAAACATTTACTTTGTTTAGAATAACTGCTCTTTCCATGTGTGTAGAATATAAAGGCTTTTTTTTTTAATGATGAGTGGTGTGTAGTGGATAGTCTATCAGCTAGTGCTCGTGTAAATATTACTAAGCAGCCGACTTCCGAATGAATCAACGAGAAGAAATGAAAGGCATCCACGAGAGCTGTTTTTATCTGTGGGAGGCGGTGTGGTGTGTTTGGCTGGCCTCCAAGGCTCCAACTGAGGGTGTAAGAGCACGTTGGTGGCTGCAGCCCTGGCAATTATAGTCATATTTATGGGTACTTGCACAGCTAAATTAAGCATTAGCTATTTGTTCCTAAAGAAAATTGATATTGTCTTTTAATTCTTCCCTGTCTGGCTTCAAATCATAAGTTTATAATTTGGGACGGAAAAAATTTCACCGTCTTGTAAACCAGGATCTCGTCCTGGCGACTACATTATCATGCCTTTTTTACCTTTTATTAGCCAAAACGGACCAAGCGACCTGACATAACCAAAACGATATAATGTAAGACTATTTTTGTTTAGATGGATAATTTGTACTAAATTTGTGTCTGCTGCCATCATTATTTTTTCTATACTTGTTTAAAAAAAATAATGCCGGATGTGACAAAGTTAAAAGGTATGAAACACATTCTATAGGAAAAGCATCGTAAAAGGCATAGGTTAGTTGTGCAAGCGTCCTTCATTTATTTATGACTCGAACCCACAGTTGCTTGAGGTAGAGGATTTACTGTGGTGTGACATGTCTATATTTATACTACCTCTCTTTCCTTCTCCGTAAGTAAACTAGGCATATATGTTCAGGCAGAAGTCTTGCGTCAATCTGTAATCAAGTTCTCTTTTGTGGTAACGTGCAACAGGTATAGAAGGACGTTTAAAACCTCTCCCTTCCCCAACCCCCAACCCCTTTTTCCTCCATCCCCGGCTCCCTTTCTCCCTCTCCCTCCCTCTTTTTTTTCCACCTCCCCGTTACCCCCTCCCCCCCTCCATCCATCACTGTACGACATATAATCACTTCACCAACCTCATATATCTTTTTGGACTTGTGTTGTCCTTCTTGACTTTGTTTTTTTTACCTGAAGGAAACGTAACCTATATAGCCTGACCCATTTTGACGGTGCTGAGGTAATGGGTATCTCATTAGGTTAGGTTATGTTGATGGGTTTGGGTATAGATTATATACTGTACCTGATTAAGAGCAATGCTTAGTCTATCCTCCTGGCTGATGGCGGGGGTATGTTGGCCGTGAGACTCCAAGGGTGGCCAAGATCGAGGTGCATGAATAATTTAAAAGAGCGACAGAGTTAGGTGTTGTGTGTGGCTATCTTGGGACATAGATACACAAATAATAATAATAATAATAATAATAATGTCTTGTGTCAGCTTATATATAACTAAATACAGTTGTGATATCAAAGAAGAAAGTAGATGGTGGTATTGTTGTTGGCTTGATGTGTGGGAGAGAATAATAAGGAAACGTGTTGTACAAATCTATTTTTATTCTCCGTAACAAAAAGTCTCATCTCTTACACCTTACTTCATATAAATATCATCACTGGCAAAATACATTTAACCCTTTATATACAGTTCACAGATAAACACAGATATGATATGCATGATATATAGATAAAGCTAAATACTACAAAAGCAAAACATAAATTATCCTATTACCACTAAACTATCTTGTTCACACCGTCTATCCACCCCACAAGTTACCGCGTGATAAGCGACAATATGGACCCCAGGTTTTATTCAGAAGACTTAAAATCATCACTTTAATTTTGGGGTTTCCTCATGTAAGCAACCAAGAATTTCCAAGTACAGTCCTTAGGTATGGTTGTACTGTAATTTTTGGGCTATATCCGAGGGGGGAGTTAATGAGTGTCTATAACCTTCCTCCCTTCTTTGTGCTAGAAAAAGAAAATACATTATACAGTTTGATAATATATGTGATTTCTCAACTGTGAACCTTGTGACCAGGTTGGGGCATATGAATGATTGTGATTAAAACAGTACATTAGTCTCAGCATTATGAATTGGTACAATATATTGATGATTTTGTCCAACACTGTCCTCCCTATCATGCTCTGGATACGACCCTGGTAATACAAGGGAGTTACCACTGTATATGTCAGAGGGTCGAGTCGGTGTTTTCAATTCGTGGAGGCGTTTACACTTGCCCCAGAGGTTGTATTTATATGGTATTTGTAAGCTAAAACAGGAACAAAAGCGAAGACCTAACTGCTATAGTCTACCTTAAGTAAAAATTACTGGTTGATAATTCTTCATCTTTCATAAGAATATAGTGAAACGAGTGAAGGTAAATCCTCGAGCTCTCGGTTCCAGCTGACTTGCCCTTTGTTTTTGTTTTATATGAACCAAATAGAAATATTTATAGAACCTTCCACAGGGCGAAGGGAGCGTAATAGTTGGACGTGTTGAAGACAGTTTTTGTCTACAGTACGGGTATTGTTTGACGTTTAAGTTATTTAGGAGCCGTGATAGTGAGGACGCCGTCAGCAGAGAGAGCCGCAGCGACCAAGTCAGGCTGTGAGAGTCCAGGGATTGAGAATCTCCGCTCAAAGGAACACGTACCCTTCTTGCCCACGACCACGATGGCCCCTTTCTCCGCCTTCACGTCCAGGTGACCGTCCACAAAGTCCTTCACGTCCACAACGACCTGGAGGTGGAGGGGATCACTCATTACTGACCAATAATGGGGATTGTAAACGTCGGCTTGTGGGATATAAATGGTGACGTAGTTGAGAGAGATAAGAGACGATGAGTCAAGGATAAAGGTGGGACAGATGAAGAAGTGAAGGTCCAGTGAGTGGAAGAATGATGAGGGAGGGGGAGGAATTAAGTGCATGAGGTTTGAGTAAGAGACTAAAGGAACGAGGTGGGAGAAGGATGATGGGAAGAGAGAGAAACAGAAGGGGGTCACAGGGCACGGGTGAGGAGGGGCATGTTTAGGGCATCTGTAGAGTAAAGTTTCGCTGAAGGAGGAGTAGTAAAGAAGCGTGTAAATTGTGGTATATAACTGAGGGATAAGTTATTGTATAAATAAGCACCAAAAACTACAAAAGGTGATCGTCTTTGTGAATGTTCGAAAACTTGTATATAAATCTGGTAAATTAAGACATGTTGTTACAAGTTTACAACAATTGAAGAACTTGCCCTATACTGTACAGTTGTACAGTTTTTCTTTTGTTCCTTGTAGCATCAATAGGTATTTAAGGTACGGCAGAAGCGTGAAATAATAATCAAAATATTTCCATAGTTCTTACATAATGAACAGCTGGAATGGAATTAATCGGGGAAAATCTTTAGTATTTACCTTATATTCTCCATTGCCTGTAGAGACAGTGGCGGCCTGGTTATCATCCTGTTGGACACACTGACGGAGGTTCCTATAGGACTGAAACTTGTCCTCCTCCTGCCCCGAGCGAGACCCTCGCCGGGACATGAGTTCGTCTATGGCAGACTCAAAGTCATCCCAGACATTTTCGAAGGTAGAGTCTTGGAAGAACCTGCCGCGTCTGTTGATGGGCAGAACTCGATTCTGTGTAGATGAAGAGTAAGTTGTCGAGGTAGAGGCAGCTTGTGTTGCGCCGCCCTCCCTCACAGTGGGAATTATTTTCTCGGCTGTGCTTGAGGTTGCGCTTGTCTGGGTTGCCGCTGAATCTGCTTCATCCACTGTCTGGGAGGCGATCGTTTCGCCCTCGATATTGAGAGGAATTATTCTGGAGCTTGAGCCTTTACGCGTTCCAGATGATGCCATTGCCTCGGTCTTGACAGTGCGCGAGGTGTTGGTGTTACCTCCATCCCTGACAGTGGGGATGACTCTCTCCTCTGTGGTGGCTGATGACGACGTCTGAGTCTTCTCTGCCTCAGTAGGAATAATTTGCGACTCAATAGACGTGACATCAGCACTTGATTGCTGCTGCGAGCTGGTAGCGGACCTGGCAGCGTCGTCTGTCGAGTCCACGTTGATGGCCACGCCCTTCCCCTGTAGATGCAGCTTAGTATAGTCACGCAGGTACAGCTTACACTTACAGCATTTACACATAAAGTTTATGAAAGTAGCTTCAACTTATCGTTACATGACCAACTGTAAATTTATGTGAGAAGAAAGTTTCCTGTACCCTCATAATATATTTAGGCATTAATCTGTTTTACTTTCCCTGTCATTGCTCACTGTTCCCACTAAGTCATCATCATGATTTTCTTTATTCCCACCCTTGTAGTGAAGCATTTCTTCCTTATCTATTCATTACCAGATCTAATTCAATCTTGTTTTCTAACCCAGAATTTCTTTCATAACACCCGTGTCTTTCCTCTCTTGCTCCACCACCAAGACCTTCTACAACAGCCATATACCTTCCCTACTGTCATTATCAGTACATTATCTAAACTACCATCGACAGTAACAGCAAGCCCTCGTCTATAAGCCTTTGTCTCCTCACCTACTCCGTCATCAAAGTTTATTTTACTTCTCCTATTTTAACACCAAGAGCTTTCAGCTGCCCCCGCCCCCATCTTGTCCCTCTCCCTGGCCCTCCTATACCTACCTTCCTCTTGGCGGTGATGGTGAGAATGTTCTCGTCGGAGAGGTCTGCTACCACGCGGTCAATGATGGTGTTCTTGGGGAGCGGGAAGCTTCGTTTGTAAGTGCGATTTGCCACCTTCCCCTCCACCAGGGCAGAGAACCCCACCGTCTGCACTGTGATCTCACCGCTGGAGTACTCGTTCATGTCTAAAACGATCTGGTGACACCGGGAATATAAGATTATTTAACTTCCATTGCTTTGATTTGCCATCCTAGTCACTCATATGAAAGAAAAAAAATATTCAAATTTTCACATTCAATTTTACCTGTCGGCTGCCATCTCATGTTGACCTGTCAGAAGTAAATCAATCGTTAGTGTTCCTTCTTTGTGTCATGAACTAATCCTGAGTTTTCATCTTTATAAGTCAGTGTTACGAGGTTTTTGCTCGCCCTAATATCGGCGCCCATAGACGGTGATGGTCCTGAACTGTAGGCCGTAGTATATAAGGTCCTCCAGCCATTAAAGTTCACTCAATTGTAATGTTCTTTGACGGCATGACCTAACCTGATTACAGACACCTTTGATGTATAAGTTTGATTTGCGAACGTGGCCGGTGGATTTACTTCAGCCTTAACTATCTCGCCTACATGTATAAACAAGACATGTAGCCATGTTATGATGAGGAACATATAGAGAACAAATTCCTTTAATTTTGTTGAGTTAAAATGTTATTCCATTAAAGTACAAATTTATATTAGTTAACGCCATGACCTGTGTACAAGTGCTGCTCCCTATTATTCCCATGTTCTGGTCTGGGATATAAGCAAAAAGGTGTGTTTACGACTATTTTCAGGACACATTATCTCTGGTGGGGGGCCGGTGGTAGAGGCGGTACCGCTCTTGCCTCGCAAGCAAGATGTCACGGGTTCGATTCCCGGGCCGGTGGAAGTTGTTTGGACATACTTCCTAGCCCCCATTAGTCCCTGTTCACCTAGCAGTAAAGTAGGTACCTGTTGTAAGTCAAAAGTTGCGAATTCGAATTCAGGGAGTTGTTGGAGCTTCCAATAACTTGATGACATAAACCATTGACTCTTCAGGCTTCTATACCCTTGACTCTTCAGGCTTCTACGCCCTTAATTCATGAGACATAAAGGCAAGCATGAACTTAGCATGCTTCCCTGTTGGGCGCTGTAAACCCTTCTGCGCTTCACCTTACACAATGATGTAGGGGAGTGCCCAATAAAAAAAAAATATCTCGTAACAAGACAAACCATCGAATTGGTCATCGGTAATACAGAGGTGATGCATGGATAAGAAAAAGAGTGCATGAGGGCACTCGTTCGTACAGCAGCGCCGCACAAGGGTGTCCAATTTTACTGAAAAGGCAAAGAAAAAAGGATACACATACAGTGTTACACGAGCCAATGTCAGCTGGCGGAGGGAAGGTAGAGTGAAACATTCCCCAGAAAATTATTATCAGTAATTCGGCCAGGAAAGGTGCACATGCGTAAGGCTTAAAAAGAACAACACACACAAACCCAGAATTGTAACAAAATTTAGTGAACTTAGCGGTCCGAATGATGGACGACTGTTTATTAGCATGAGACTGTGTGTATACAAACACTAAAGAGCTTCCGTGTTGCTTCTTCCTGGTGTGTGACGTCACACTTGTTGAGTTACCAGCTGTACGATATTAAAAATACAACTAAAGATTTAATAATAATAATGATATATGAGGTGGTTTAACAGGGGCCCAACTGGGTGTCCTCATACTCACCACATAGTTGTCGGTGGTCTCGGAGATCGTCGCGGCCTGGCTGTCTTCAGAGGCGTCCCTCTCCCTCAGTTTCCTGTAGGAGGCAAAGCGGTCAGCCTTAGAGGAGCGGGAACCCCATCTGTCGAGCACGTCACCCACTGCGCGGCTGTAATCCTTTTGGAAACCACTGAAGAAGTCATCCTGCAAGAAGGCTCCTCGGCGGGTGATGGGCAGCCTGAAACCCCCCTTCAGATCACCCAGTAGAGTGCTCGCTAAAGACATCCTGGAGAAGTCACAACAAAGTTCACCAAGAAAATAGTTTGTTGAATTGAATGTTACACTGTCGATAGTCTTCGTTTAACCTCCCTTGTGGTCGGAACTCGTGTGTGTAGACTTGTTCACTGCAACTGCTGATGAGCCTTCCCGTCTCTGGCTCTCGACTGGCTCCCCTCACTTTGTGCCGCTGCTTAAGACTCCCCTCGCTTGGCACCCAACCCTCCCAGCTGATCTTGCTATGACGAAATAGTGACGTCATGAACACTAGCTAGTTGCAAGCACACTAATATACTTCACCCGTGCTCGTTCGAACTAGTCATTTACTATAATTAGTTAATTACCAATTTACGTTATATCTAAGCCAAAAATTAGTTTAATGTATGAAAATAGGTGAGATTCTGGGTGTTTTGTGTAGGGGGGTTGTGGCTGAGTCAGACCAAGTGTGGTGACCGTCCCGCTTAAAATAACATTACGATGTACACCTCGGCCCCACACCTTACACGTGTCTTCTGAGAGAAACACGTACCTACCTCAGGCACGCTACACCTCACATGATTGGTATTCTCGAGTTTACCTGTAATATAACTGTGTGAGGCGTATTGTACTTCTGACAGCTTTCACAGGATCATGGAAGTCGAGGACGTCGTCGTTGTGTATATTATTAATTGGGTGATTCATACGAGTAACCATAAACGCATATTAGATGGATCAGTATTAACACTATTCTGTAGATATAACAAGAATTTACCTTTAGCTAGTAACAGTGAACCCACAATGCATAGAATTTTCTTAATAACTTTTTTCTATTATCCTCTGAAGTCTCTTATAGACAAAATAACAATCTGTGAAACTTGACTGTGCGGTGAGCGTGAGAGGTGCGGCAGTGTTAGAACTTTTCACCTTATTTTTTTTATACCTTTATCTTCTTCGCCACTGACCGGCTCGTTAACCTCTTGGGCGTTGGTTACATCCCTGTTGGCAAATTCTGTAATGGTCATGTACTGGCTTCAGAATGTATCTGTACCTGCTCCAGTGTTGATCAAATAAGAGTGGCTCATTCAAGACCAGACTTGACCAACATTGGTGCAGGTACAGATACAGTAGTACCACGTCCGAAACACCGCTTCTTGTCCGATCGCGAAGTTAAGCATCGTTAGGTCTGGTTAGTGCTTGGATGGGTGACTGCCTGTTCCCAAGAACACCAGATGCTGCTGGAAAAAAGCCTCTCTTGGCTTTGTCAGCTGTCCTTGGTCAAATTGACTGATTATAATTATCAAAGTAAGCCATTCAGGTTCACGAGGTTGCTCAAACGGGGTGGACCAATTAAAGTGAACCAGTTTTAGGTTGGCCGGGGTTTGAGTGCACATTTGGATGACATAACTTTCAAACATTATGAACTATTGTTTCCAAAGGTTTTCAGAAACTTGCGAACTGCTTTAATACAGATTTTGTCCATTTCATGATTTTTTATTTAAATTTCAACATGGTTCACTTTAATTGGACCACCATCTATATTTCATTTCAACACTTTACTTAAATATTTATTATTGTTTTTTTGTGAAAAGTTCATCAGTCCTTATGAAGATGGAATGTATTAAAGAAGCTTGATTTCTGTTGTGCTACATGTAGCACTTCCTCCTTATATGGCTGAAATTTAATGACTGAATTATGTCACCCATTTACTTAATGAAAACTGTGAGAACCACCGACAGAGACTTGGGTGGTTTCACGGTGCCATCAGACGAATTAATTAAGTCGTTTTACAATGTTCAGAATTCGATTATTTAACCATTTATTTCTAATATTTCAGACCTCATCGCACCGAGTGTGACCTTTAGATTAACCACATCCATCATGAGTAACTTATATATTATTTATTATATTCCAATTGTTTGTTGGAAATTGTAAAGGCGTATTGCAGGATCACAATATACTGTAAAATACACAAATTAAATTACATTTCTAAAGCTTCTTGCCTACAGAAGCAAAGCAGGATATCTTTGTTTGTGTAACATGTTTAAGTTGGCGTAATTATCATATTTGAAATATTAAGCTCGCTGGTACAAATTAATGAAGTTGTCGATAACAATGGAATTAAAATGTCATGTCTGTACAATAATTTATTGATATATATCTACATACAGGCAGTGTTTTTTATACAAAGACTCATGTATGATTTATTAAGAATTACATAGTTACATAAAATAACAATCAGTTTTATAAGTGCACAACGAGAGAAAAATATGAGGGTAGGCCACCTGGCAGCCTAGTAGCACACTACCAGGAGGCGCGCGATTCGTCCATGTTAGCAGAGTGACGGATATTTTGTATTTGTTACATCTTAGCATATTCATCTGTGGTTACCCTGAAACAGTGAGGATCATGGATGCATGAAGACTTTATTTTTTCTGGCGATGTTAAATGTGGTTCCCTTCATAGCGCTATTAAGCTGTGTACTACAGAACATCTTGAATACGATAATGTTCTTAACAGTGTTCTGTTGCCATTGTTATAAGGTGACTTGGGAGGTAATATTTAGCAAGAACGATAGATTTCGCTCTGTACAAAAGGCTGGACTCAATATTACCTTTTTTCCATTAGACCAGAATCAAACAACTGATTGTGGTCATAAGTATTGAGAGTAGTTAAATGGTAGTTGTTGAGATTGAAACTAAAATTGTTAACTCCTGTTGAGTAGCTTAAGTAGTGACAGATAACGGGTATAATGCAGGTCACATGTTTACCACATACTGTACACACAACTTGTGACTCGGAGTTGGTTGTAGTTAGTTTGGAGGAGGTTGAGACTCAGTCAACTCACTGATGGTCACTACATGCACGTCTTAATCTGTCGGTAATTAAGGCTGAAGCCACGGTTTATGGCCTCCATCAGCTCGTTACCATTACTCTTGACGTACAACACGAAGGGCTGAGCAGTGGCTGGGGGAGACAGAGCACATTATTATGTATATGTTAGGCTCAAAGAACGATTTCGCTCATTAAGCTAAAAAATAAAGGCGACCACACCGCGTTGTGGACGTTATCAAAATAACTAGACTGTGAAATTTCGCGAGAGGTTACGTTAGATCATATTAGGTCTGTTTAGGTTAGTTTGAGTTGGGTTAGATTAGTTTAGAATAGGTTAGTTTAGGTAAGATTGGATTAGGTTTGGTTAGGCTAGGTTTGGTTATACACATGTGGGGATTAATTTATAAGTGTGGATTCAGGTGAGAGGGGTCATCTTACAGGTGAGAGGGGTCATCTTACAGGTGAGAGGGGTCATCTTACGGGCAAGAGGGGTCATCTTACGGGTGAGAGGGGTCATCTTACAGGTGAGAGGGGTCATCTTACGGGCAAGAGGGTCATCTTACAGGTGAGAGGGGTCATCTTGCGGGTGAGAGGGCCATCTTACAGGTGAGGGTCATTTACAGGTAGAGGGCTTACGGGCAAGAGGGGTCATCTTACGGGTGAGGGGTCATTACAGGTACATGTGAGAGGGGTCATCTTACATGTGAGAGGGGTTATCTTACTTGTGAGAGGGGTCATCTTACAGGTGAGAGGGGTCATTTTACAGGTGAGGGGTCATTTTACAGGTGAGAGGGGTCATCTTACGGGCAAGAGGGGTCATCTTACGGGTGAGAGGGGTCATTTTACAGGTGAGGGGCCATTTTACAGGTGAGAGGGGTCATCTTACGGGCGAGATGGGTCATTTTGCAGGAGAGAGGGGTATCTTACAGGTGAGAGGGGTCATTTTACAGGTGAGAGGGGTCATCTTACGGGCGAGATGGGTCATCTTACAGGTGAGGAGTCAATTTAAGATGAAGGAGATCAACTTACTGGTGACGGAGGGAGGGAAGCCGAGCCCGCAGTATCTGTCGGCGGCCTGGACGGTGTTGGTGGCGTCGTCTAAGGTGTACAGACCGCCGGGGATCACCACGTAGTCCGTAGTGCAGTTACCATCGCGTGTGCTTGTGTTGATTGTACCTGAAGGAAGGAATAAAATAAGTCTGGTGTTCTCTGTGTGAATAGAAACAGGAATCTGAAACTGGGATCAGGAGCAGTCGACCTGTAGTGTGCGTATGAAGTCTTAAGAATTATTTTTGTTACCTTGGAAAAACTTTGTTATAAACAAATGAAACTTTGATAAACCTCTTCTGCTATATAGGGATCTGTTATCTCTACTTGTCGTCTGATCGTTAAGTACGGTATGGTGCATCTAAGAGTGCTACGTTTATAGGTCAGTGGGTTTGGGTATATCTGAAATTACTGTAAGTCCTCTTATTTTGAGGAGGCTGCTGGATGTGTTATATCTATTATAGGATATTATCCCACTTAAACTAACTTAACGCCAACCTAACCTAACCAAATGTAAGTATAAGTTTACTGAAGCAACCTAACGTAATCTGATCTGAACTAACTCTAACGTTATCCTAGCTTCCTGAAAAAAGTATGGCTGGTATTGCACTCGACCGCCCTCAGTTCTCCAACTGTAAAGTTGAGCAGAACTGGGTTGAAATTCTGTCCAGTAGTTGTTGGTAAGTGCCCCGTAAAGGTGATCAGGGGCAGGTGACTTACCAATAAGACTGAGCTGAATGGCGTCAGCGGGGCCAGAGACGGTGAAGCCGAAGTTGCCGCCCACTTTGCTGGCCTCCCAGATGATGCCGCAGTAGTTGTCAGCACGCTTAATGCATACCCCGTAGTCCTCGTTGGCCAATTGCCTGGTGCCTGGTGTCCGGTAGATAGGGAATACGAGGTTGTCAGTTATCAAAGAATGGGAGTTATCAGTTGTATGGTGGCATAACTTGTTAGTGGGACGGGGTCCATAGGAATAAAATTACGTTGAAGAAGCTGAGGACTCTCTCTCTCTCTCTCTCTCTCTCTCTCTCTCTCTCTCTCTCTCTCTCTCTCTCACAGCGTGTACTAGAACACTAATACGTACCGTTAACATCAGTGTTAGTGTTGGTGTTCAGGAAGTTGAAGCTGTTGACGGTGCCGGTAGTAGCCGTGTAGTACTGCAGGCAGCCTTCAGGAGCTGGGAACACACACACCCAACTTGACACGGGTTATGGGATACAGGACAATAACACGTAAGGAAGGAGGACAGCTTGGGGAATATTCATTAAACTTTAGGTATGGAGTATGGTCATGCGCGGCAGCCATTAAATATGATTAAGAAAAATATACGTGTTCGGTAGGTGAATATGGGCCATGGCAAACAAAAACCATGAACCTCTTTGATTTCCTATAATCTGTAGATACTATCGTCACAGGTCCCTAAAGTGCTTGATGTTTGTGAAATAAATAGTTCGTCTGGAAAGAAACCTGGAGATTTGAAGGTGTGAAAAAATATATATGTAAATCTCGAGAGAATGGTAAAATTATATGAAAGGCTTTAATGTATACCAATAGGCTCTAGTACAATTCGTCACCGGTTCAGTATAAACGTAACGTAACCCAACTTAACTTTTGCTTCGTCGCCTCTAAAATAAGGACATTATTATCTTGGTATAATACAATATTTAATAGACCGGTGACGAACTGTCCGGGTCTCAATAAAGTAAATCTGGTATTTAATGTCTTGCGTATTATGTGAGTAATTCTGTATGAACCCAGAATCTACAGTTACGTTATGGTGTAACTGGAACAACCAATAACCAGTACAGGTAAACCCTGCATTATCTTGGAGAATTAGACTAGCCAGTGACCTGCTGAAGTGACAGCCACAGCGTGGAAACTGACACAATCCTTAAAGCCTAAACACACAACAGAGCCTGGAATTACTGGGGAAAAACAGTTTATATTGGAGACTACAACTTGGTCATGTAGTTACTGAAAAGGCTATTTTCTTATTTATAAAAAATCAGTCAATTCCTGGAGTTTCAGAAACTTTAAGTATTGCTGAAAAGGTTAACATTCTTAAGAAGCCGCAACAGCAACCTTTGATTACTGAAAGACCAACTTCCTTCAGAAACTTCCCCTTCAGGAGCTGTGAGACAACCAGAGATCTTACCACGGAACCTGGAGTCACAGGCGATCTGGGTGACCTTAATATCCCATGACCGGCTGAGGGAGCTAATATCAAAGCGGTCTATAGTTAGCTTTACAGTGCCGCCATTCGGGTCCACGTCGTAGTAAACTGAGGAGAAGTAAGTGGGAGACATTGAGCACATACTGGGACTTGGATAGATTGTCAGATGTGTCATACAACAGCCGAAATTTGCGCTTACCCTTATATTTATTTTCAGTGTATTTCTTACTGGACATTTTCGACCTCGTTACTCACTATGCTGTCCATTGTTTCTTCCACAGATCATGGGGACCTTGGACACCCCGCCGGTGACCGTGAAGAAGTCATGGTTACAAGCCCCGTTGATGTCCGGCTGGGAGAGGTCGAGGGAGATGAAATCGAACCTCATCTGACAGATGTTGCTGTTGACGCGGTTGATGGTGAGTGTACAGGCGCCCAGCTCAACGTCAGTGGAGTCTGGATTGATGAAGTACGTGTTATTGTAGCTGCTGGCCGCATTACATGTCCTCGTCGCTGTCGGGAAGAGAGAGAAAGAATGAGGCTGTGAGGTGGGCTTGATGCTGGTGAGATAGAGGGAGTGAAAGGTAGATAGAGAAAAGAAAAGAGGTATAGATAAAGAAGAGACTAGGGGGGTGAGGTGGGGCTCTGGGGTGCTCATGATAAAGTTAGAGAAATAGAGTGAGAAAGAAAGAGGGGAAAGACTAGGGGAAGAAGATGGAGCTGTGAGATGATGTAGATGCAAGTGAGTATGTATAACAAATAGATATGTTGAGTCACAAGAGGGTGGGGAATATTTACCTAAACAACAGGTGCCAAGTCCCTTGGCACAGGTTCCCTGGGATTTACCTCCCTGGTTAGAACATTGCTTGGAAGGCATGCAGGTGCCCTGGGTCCTGATGGGGTCGTTGGTAGTACACTCACTGGCGGCGATCTGAGCCAGCAGGACGAACACTGTCGACATAACTTAGTGTAGTTATTAGTGTTGTGGCCAAGGAATAATTCTCGTTCATCACTAGTAAGTCACTGACCTAACTCGGTCTCTCTCAAGCCTTTGTTTAAAATTTTTTCTTCATATCATTGCGGATGTGAGATTTTTAGGCGCACATTTTTGTGTATGTCGCAGGTCCTCCTATGAGCTGAGACAGAGTTGTGTTTATGCTCCAAGTTTATTTTTGTGACTTTTTACTGTTTTGCAGACTAACTAACTATCTACTCATAAATAATCCATTACCTTTCAGCCACCGTGGGTGTATCTGCGGGACAGACACGTCGTTCTATTAAGCTAATCGTGTATCAAAGCTCAGCTCTCCACCGCACCTTGATTACCCTCACCTTTAACATGCCACTGCAGGTAATTTAAGACTTACGTATACCATTCTTTTTAAGTATTGATCTAAACATTTAAGAACATTTGATGCAAGAGTTACCATTCATCAGCTGAATATCTGTTTCTCCTACAAGTGTCAGCAATTCATGACGTCTAAGTATTTTCCAGCAAAAAGCTCACACACACACACACACACACACACACACACACACATACTCTACTCTGCTATGGCGGCGGGTAGACTGCGTACCTTCACTCGTGTATCCTTCACAATCTACTTACATTTTCCGTCTCGGTCGTGTTCACTCTCTAGTTCCTGGGTCTCCTCGAGAGATTCGTGTTGTTCTTCCTCTGTGGTGGGGGTGGCCAGAGCGACGCCCACCACAACACCTATGACCACCACCCATACCAGTCTCTTCCAAGTGCCGCCCACCTGTCAGTATATTAGAATAACGTCAGTCACAAGTCGTACTAATTTAATATATTTTAAGGAATGACAAAGACCATTATTAGGAATAAGAATCGCAGGTTAATAAATATGGGAAGTATTTTCCGGAAAAACATCATTGATTGTGGGTCCCAACACATTGTATAGGAAGGCTTTAGCACACTGGAGCCACCGTCGTCAACCTCCTTTCCGTCACTTAACTGTAAAGAGCTTTGGGGGGGGGGGGCACTCTGGGATGAAACCTTGAACCATTGAACAGGAAGCGAGTATTGTGTTCTATCAGCCGCCACGCCCCACAATAACCATAATAAATTTCATTCTTACTAAACATCAAACCATTAAATAACAGTAAATACTATAAATAAATTGAATTATTACAACTTTAACCCAAACTAACCTATCCTGTTATACAGTATACATAGCTTAGTTGTGAGAGTAAACAATGTCTTAAATAAATCTGAGCCAGTTTTACTTCATAATCACTTAATTCATCTCAGTTTTAGCGACAAAAAATATTCCCTTTTGTTGAACCTTCAAAGTGTTACTGGGATAATTCTCTCTTGTACATAACCTTCAAATCAGCGAGTGATATTAGGAAGTATAAATCGGTCCCTAAAATCAGTATTAAACATCCTTAAAGACTAGGGCCTTAAAATCAGTATTATGAGGGTCCCTAATCGTTGCTAGGGATTATTACTGTATGGGGCAGACCTAGAGAGTATTGTTCAGTAGTTGGGGCGAGGTGATGTTGGGGGTCAGCGGCTGCGTCGTGTTGGGTGTGTGACTGGCAATTTTCTCCTCTATCAACAGTAAAGCGAAAAAATCCATGAGTTCATGTTCTAACCTTTGTTTAAATGATGTGCGATATTAGCGGAATGTGTGTGTGGGTGTGTGTGTGTGTGTGTGTGTGTGTCTGTGTGTGCGTGCGTGTGTGTGTGTGTGTGTGTGTGTGTGTGTGTGTGTGTCGTATATTGTTGGGATACAATAGACCAGTTTAGGTTAGGTTAGGTTAGGATAGGATATTTCTTACAACCACAGCAACATCTGGCTACTATACTGTGCTCACTTCTTCATTATCTCGGCCAACCTAACATGGTATTGTATCCGGCCAATCTAACATGCCATTTCCCGTATTTCCTCTTATTTTTTGGTTAAAAAATTTATATTCATTGCCCTTAACATTATTCTTAGAAGATTAATTACCCACATTTTTTTCTTAATTTATCTGTGGAATAATTAGGGCAACACTTCCTCCTTCATAATGATAAAAAATTGACTCGGGCTTCTCTAAATCTCACGATGAAAGAAGTACCTGTACTGTATATGTATTCCTTGAGAAACGTGTACACTTTTTCCATACAGTAGGTGTAGTGGCTCAGGTGTACAGCCAGAGAACAGTTCCCTTACATCCCTGAGACTCCCAGCTGCTGGAGCCTGGCTGGCCTCTAGTTCCTAGCTTCTTTGGTCTTGGTATAGCTTCGAAAAGGCGAAAACCGGGTCTTTTTTCTGAACTTTTATTTTGCTTCCTGGAATTGGATGAACTTTCTCTGATGTTCGAGTAAATGATTTAGACACGTATTCCATAACTAGCTGACGAAAAAACTGGGCACGTTATTCTCAAGCCTGATTAATTCATTTAGGTACATACATACACCAAAGGGTTTAAATAAAGTGTCTCAGTCATAGGTTTGATTATTCCTTTTACTTACGTATCCCATAACGTGGTAACGGAAGGATTAGTCACGTTTTCCTCAAAGTCGATTAATTGATTTAGAGACCTGTCCTTTGGATTCGTTGGCATAATTAGGGTCGTAGCTCCGTGTTGATATGAGGCTCAAGTAAATCATTTAGAATTTGGGCATAAATGATATAACTTACTCACGAAATGATTTAGTCTCATTTACCATCAATTATATGTTTATAATAGATACATTACCATTAACTGCCGACGGAGCAATTAATCTCGTTTACCTTTAATTCAATGTGTTTAGGTATTCGTATCCTATAACTAACTTGCTGACGAGGTATTGAGGCAGGAGATGCTTACCTTCATCATGGTCGTGAGGTTGTGGCGGAGGTGTACACGTCACTAAGGCAGAAGTAGGTCTGACGGAGGCGCACCAGAGGTCGCTCTTATATGCTCTGGGGTGCTGCAGGCTGCTCCTAATGGCATCCCTTAAAACCGCGCCTCCAGCTATGTATAGAAATCGTTTTTTCAGGTGAGAGTGGTGTGTGTGTGTGTGTGTGTGTGTCTGTGTGTGTGTGTGTGTGTGTGTGTGTGTGTGTGTGTGTGTGTGTGTGTGTGTGTGTGTGTGTGTGTGTGTGTGTGTGTGTGTGTGTGTGTGTGTGTGTGTGTGTGTTTCAGTATGTAGGTGTGTAGTATATGTATCTGAATGTATATGTATGAGTTGTGAGTATAATTTCGATTGTGTGGTCATGTATATGTATACATGCTGTGTGTGTGTTTCGGTGTACATGTGCAGTATAATATATGTGTGTGTTGAATTGCATAATTGCACATTTTGCGTGTGTGTGTGTGTGTTTTTTGGTTTACAGGCCTGCACCTTTGTGTGCATGTATTGTTCTGTGCATATTTGTGTATGTGCATCCATTTGTGAGTGTAATTGTTTACTCTGGTACAGTAAGTTTACCCCTCAAGTGTGTATTCAAGGCAAACAGCGTCTGGCCAACCATTATGAAGTTAGACTCAGTCATTTAACACACGTAAGATCTGACACAGCTGCTTTGAGACGCTCCTATGGGCCCCTGCTGATACGTGATTGGCCTAGAACTCGATCATCAGGACGCTATCGGTTACATCCCATGTGATACTTGTGTTCGTGTTGCAAGTGTTGATGGTCAGGTGCGGTCAGCAAGAGAAGTTATCAAGCAAACCACACTGGTCAAGTTGGTATCCTAACCTAACCTACTGTAACATAACATAACCTAACCCCTCTCCCTTTTTTTTAAGCCAATACCAGTTTGTCCTGCTCTGACTGATGGATGTTTTTTGCGCGTAAGGGATATTTCTTGAAGTAAGGTGTAACCATTTCCACGGTATTTTTACATAATGTGTAGATTCATTACAGTTGCTTCCTGAAGGACAGTGGGGTACTGTGTGTGTGTGTGTGTGTGTGTGTGTGTGTGTGTGTGTGTGTGTGTGTGTGTGTGTGTGTGTGTGTGTGTGTGTGTTTTCGTTGAAATCTTACAATCAGGTTTATGTTGGCGGAAAAAAAAGGAACTACCGATTTTAGTGAAGGTAAGTCAGGTTAAACTCTGACCATCAGCTGTCAACCTGACCTATGATCTTCCCTAACCATCACCTAACCTAACGAAGACGTAAACGATGTAAATTTGGTGCAAGTTTTTCAAAGGTCACGGTCACAGGTCGAGGTCAAAGTTTTATATAAAGTGATATAGATAAAAGAGGTTCAAGCCCCTGTGTTGTATCTCTCTGTGAACATGTAACTCATAGTTTGTTATATTGTCAGTGTAGACACTCGATGGTGACGCTGCAGTCTACACTAATTTATTCTTATCTTGTTTATTGAAGAGATAAATCCATCGTAAAGTTATTTTATGTTCATACAATTTTATTAATGATTTAATTTTCCAGCATAGTTACGTGTGATGAGAAGTATCATTGGTGTGTGTTAGTCTCATATATGAGGTAAAATCACAAACAAACAGTTTTGAGAAACTGGCGGCGAGTAGTGTTGTCTGGGGAAGGTACACAAGAGAAGGAATTTAGTTCAGTGTTGGGGTCAAGATAGTGCCATCCACCTGGTGCAGGCAAACAGAGTGACTCTTGACTTCCGCAAGCATTGTGCACTCTCAAGCACTCGAGGCTGCTTCTGCAAACACGGGGTTGTAGGTTAATTTCTGTCGAGATATGATGCGCATCGGAACGGCGTAGGATTGTTTTTGTTTTTTTTGCTATGTCTCCAGATTGTAAAACACAAGGTACACATGACTGTGGTGCTCTGAAGAACACATTAGCTACCAAGTGACTCTGCTCAGCTTAACAAGATTCAATTTTTTGTCCTACATTTAAAGAGTTAGAAGGATGGATGGGAAGGCGTGAGAGGCGGGGAAGTCTTTAAAGAATAGCGATAAATAACAGAGGTAAATGATAAAGGAGTTTCACACAAAGACACTCACACAGAGAGACGCGAGGAAGACTGCAGTGGGTTGTGGGTTACATTGAAGATATTGCCGCAATAATCATAAGAGTAGCTGTAGAAAAGAGAAAGTGAAAAGAGACAAGTGTGACTTGAAGGAGGTGAGGAACCAGTTTTTGACGAGGTAAAACGTTTTAGATTGAATTTTATGTAACAGTAAAAACTAGGGCGATGGAGCGTCATCCCTCACGTGAGAGCATTGTTCCAGGTGAGGTGGACGGACACAGGTGACGGACACACAGCTTGTGTCGCTCGGGTAAACATAGACTCGCAGTGTTTACTTAAGTAGCTTAAACTAATGTGCTCACGTATATTGTAGAGGCTCATCAAACCATCAATAACAACAAACAAAATCAATAATATAAGTATTTACAAACGATATTATTTTCTAAGCGAAATAATTACGTTTAAATAAAAACTACGACATGGTCAGTGGAACTTGAATCATTTAGTAGGTTTTATCGGACACTGTATAGGCATGAGAAGTTGACTTGCCTCCCCTCAGTCCTGTTATTATAAACACCGTGTCTTCCTCAGCTGCAACTACGAAAGAATAGAGAATACTCGTGTCAGATTGTTTTTGTTTTTTTAAGTTGTGTATATGGAGAAAGACATCCTTGGTCCACGTGAGTGGTAAAACACTGACCACCAGTTTTATCATACACAACTTCAGGAATACATAATACTAATAATGGTTGCATCTCGTGGTCCAGGATGGCCGGTCCAAGGGCCACCTAGGCGTGAATTTGTTTAAGGTGTACATAAGAACATAAGAATGGAGGAAACTGCAGCGGGCCTATTGGCCCATACTGGGCAGTCCCGTTTACACCCAACCCCTATTGCTCATATGAGCATCCAACCTATGTTTGAAGCAATTCAGCGTATTCGAGTTAATGATGATATTTGGTAACTTGTTCCATTCATCCACTACTCTGTTTCCAAACCAGTGTTTACCTATTTCACGCCTAAATCTAAATTTGTCTAATTTAAAACCATTGTTACGAGTTCGCTCCTGGTTGGATAGTTTGAGTACCTTTGTAATGTCCCCTTTGTTTAGCCCTGCCTTCCACTTATACACCTCTATCAGGTCGCCCCTCGCTCTACGTCTCTATACTCAAGGTTCCTAATGCCCGGGATTAGTCTTGTCATTCTCCTCTGAATTCTTTCCAAGGATTCTATATCCATTCTGTAATACGGTGACCAGAACTGAACTGCGTAACCCAGGTGTGGTCTCACAAGAGCAAGATACAGTTTTAGGATGACCTCGCTAGTCTTGTAACTAACACTCCTTTGTATGAACCCAAGTACTTTATTAGCCTTTTTACGAGCAAAAACACATTGTTTACTTGGCTTAAGGTTCCTACTTATCATTACTCCTAAATCTCTCTCGCAGTCGGATTTCTCTATGGCATCGTTGTTCATCTGGTATCTGGTTTCCCTGTTTACATCTCCTATACTGAGTACTTTACATTTGTCGACGTTGAATTTCATCTGCCATTTTTCAGACCATTCGAAAAATTTGTTTAGATCTTCCTGTAGTTTTGCCGAGTCCTCGTCAGATTTGATAACACGTCCTATTTTAGTGTCATCAGCAAATTTACTTATGTTGCTGTCAATGCCGATATCTATGTCGTTTATGTATATAATAAATAATAATGGTCCAAGTACTGAGCCTTGGGGAACTCCACTTGTGACGTTGCTCCAATGGGACTTAGTGCCGTTAATGCTCACTCGCTGTTTCCTGTCCTGTAACCACGCCCTAATCCATTTAAGGATGTCACCTTTGATGCCATGAGCTTCTACCTCTCTAATTAGTCTTTCGTGGGGGACTCTGTCGAAGGCTTTGCTAAAGTCGAGATATACCACATCATAATTGTGCCCCTCGTCCACCCATTCGAAAACTGATGAAAAGAATGTTAATAGATTAGTTAGGCAAGAACGTCCGCTTGTGAAGCCATGCTGGGAATCATTGATCAATCAGTGCTTCTCCAGGTGATTTCGAATAGAGTTTGAAATGATTGCTTCCAGTAATATGCCTACTATTGATGTTAGACTGATTGGGCGGTAGTTAGAGGATAGTGATCTATCCCCCTTCTTGAAAATCGGTATTACATTCGCTATCCTCCAGGATTCTGGTACGACACCTGTTTTTAATGACATGTTAAACAACTTTGCTAAGGGCATACTAAGCTCTTCCTTGCATTCCTTTAATACTCTGGCAAATATCTCATCGGGACCAGGTGACTTATTAGGCTTTAGTTTGTCTATTTGCTTACTAACATCGTTACTAGTCACTACTATCTCACTTAATTTATTTTCTTCACTATCTCTGAATAGAGTCGGTGCCAACACAATAAGTTAATGAGTTGCATGAACCAGTGTCAAGGAATAGTCCGAGAAGACTGATAACTCGCCAACTGCACTGGTTGACCATTACCCCGGAACACAATCCGCAAATCGATTAACATCCAGGTTCCCAATTACTGCTGGTTAGACAGAGGCAAATGGCGTAAAGAAACTTGCCCATAGTTTTCATTCCTTTCTCGATTAGACTACCTATCTATAGAAATTTTGGTCCAACAAGAAGCAGGAAAAAATGTGAACTTTTCTCTATCCTCCCCCCCCCCCACCTTAGGGAAATGGGCTCTCACTTCCGCCACCTTTCCATATCGGTTCAGGGGTCCAAGGGAACAACAGAAATACCTTGGTTAAACTCTTATAAGTGCGGTATAAATCGCAATGAAAAAACCTCCACCAGTCTCGCCCACTAATTGCCTGCAGTGACAAGGCGAATGATAACTGGCAGGTGTGATGGTTATTATTATTATTATTATTATTATTATTATTATTATTATTATTATTATTATTATTTTACTGGTAGATATTTGGAATATTATTATTATTGTTATTATCATCGTATTTTTGTGGTTCTTGATATATAATATTTATTTGTCGTGGTCTTTGGGTTATATTTTGTAATTTTTTCGGAACATTATCATTTTGTTGGCCTTGCTTGATTTTTTACTTTATTTTGTTGTTTATTTATTGTTATGGTCCTTGTGTTAAGGCTTTGTGATTCCTGGATTGCTTTTTCTGGTGGTTCTTTGGGTATACTTGTTTCTGAACCTTAACTTGAACTGCCAGGCATCAGTGAACATTATGCTCTTATGTGTACAGTGTGTGTGTGTGTGTGTGTGTGGGGGGACTCAGGTTATAATAGTCAGATGGGTTGGATGATGGATAGGGGTCGTGTGTGAGTGAGATGCTGCGCCATAGTCATAATTACACGTCACGCATTCAAACACCGGACAAATATCTCCATAACACATCTAAACACATTACCAGTATTAAACAGAATTTCACGTTACTTGGCAAAAATGGCGTGTATGGGTGTGTATAATGTATATTTTCAAATGGTGTCTCTTTGAAAGCTTATCCATATGTGTGTGTGAGGCCTCAGATAGAGCACCCAACTTATTCAGTGAAATAATTCCCACAAAAGGACGGGAGACTTTTTTTTCGCTTTGTTTACAAATAGTTTTACAGTCACGGACAGATGTCGTAAATACCAGGAATTATTAAAGAGTTGTTTTAGGCGGTGGAAGGTTTACTTTATATATCTTGACTGGAGACACGTGAGACGATAAAGGGTTACAAAGTTTAGGCTCAGGGGAAGTGAGGCAGCTTCACTATGACCCGCCCTCGAGTTGCCACCAGCCACACAGCACTGTCAGTGTCTGGCCTACACAGCGGTGGGCGGGCGAGAACAACCACACCTTTGGCAGAAACCGAACTAAATAAATTTTGTGGTGAAGGGAGAGTGGGCCAAGCCTTAGAGTTACGGAGAGAATGAGGTATATAATTATAGTGTTTGGGGAGTAGAGCCGCCCTCGGGTCAGGAACAAATCAATCCTGTTTATAGTTGGAGGGTAATCTCCAACAACTGAACCAAATTTCCCTTTTATACGTTAGATTTAACTATATGAATTACGAGTGTGTATCAGTCACGCCTGAATGGAATCCTACAGTAGCTTGGGAACAATCGAGTGTACCCAGTAGAACTAACCCAGGACGACTGGTGGTGGCGCTGCTCTCTAGGTCTCCACCGCCCTCTTTCTTGGTGTTTATATCACCATTAATTATTGATGTATGTATTAATGAGACAGAAATAGATGTGGGTTGTATGCGAAGGTGTAAGAACCGTGTGTAAGAACCGTGAAAAGAACTGGAATCGAGGTTATGCCAGGAAAACCATCATTCGAGGTACAGATGGGAGAGCGTTACAGTGGTCGGTGTGTCTGTCTATAATCATAAGTTTGTATAATCAACAAGACCGACAGTTTAAAAGGGAATTTCACGCCTCCCGGTACAAGCGGTGGATATGGATGGTCACACCGTCTGTGTACCAAGATAGTTCTGCTCCAAGGGTTTTGGGAAGTGTTGGTGTTTACTTACAATCAGGGGGACTGTCCTCCACACACACACACGGTATGCAGCATGGTGGATGTGGGGAGGAGGGTGGTTAGGTTAGGTTATTCCTGACACTTCTTTGTCACATAGTCTTTAGATCAGTGGAAAGATACGTGAATAATATTTATATAACGTTTATTATAATAAATATATTAATACATTGGATTAACAAAACAAACAGTCCAGCTGTGTGAATAACAACTCAAAAATAAAACTAGTAACAAAACAATACTAAGATAAACTACTGAAAGTAAATGAATAACAGGTAGATATAAATTATTGGTCATATATTAATGTTTTGTAAGGTATCAGTACAACCATATAAGTCAGGCCAGGTCAGTAGTCACGTAATAACAGGTATGTTGTGTTGAGGTTGTTTGGTGTCACCAGACATCCATACATCACCTCTAATGACTGACTGTACAGTCATATGACGTGACTAGAGATATGGTTAAAATATGAGAGGTGATGAAGGCAGGCCTGAGAGTATAGCGTGACCTTCTATGGTTTAAAGATAACATCACGTCGTGGTATATGATAAGCTACCGTGAAAAGGTCAAGCTGGTGAGACCAAGTCGTTTGTGAGATGTTGCAGTTTAACCTCAGGACTCCCAACAACCTGTAGAGACGTGGAATTGACCTGGCATCTTCATGGGAAAGCGTGTGAAGTCATGTAGCATACCGGTGTGCCTGGGACAAGAGGTGCCATAACCTGGTAGTGGAGGAGGTGCTAGCAGTTGGTGATCTGGCGGTAGTTGAGACTAAAGCCACGGTTACCGAAGTCGTTAGGGACCTCCGCTTCGTTCTGGTGGACGTACAGCGTGAAGGGCTTCATCGTAGCTGAAATATATGTAAAGACAGAGTTGACTTTTGTGTAGTGACGGTCACACTATATTAGTGATGTGTCTGCTGTTGTTTCTGATCACTGAAACTCAAGTAAGACTTACTTGGGTAACAGCGGTGCTACTCCAATACTGAAGTATAAAATATAATTTATGGTAGAAGACAGAGGATAATGAAGTACCTTACTAAATATTACGGTTTCATGTTAGAGCATTGGAATCACACAGTAAGGCTGACAGTTCCCTTGTCAGCAGGAGTAAGGTAAAGGTGTGAGGGGGGAACAAGTGTTACAGGACTCACACGTCACGGAGTTAGGGAAGCCGAGGCCGCAGTATCTGTCAGCATTGATTCCTGTGTCGGTCATGCCGCCGGGTATCATGACGTAGTCGGTGGTGCAGTTCCCTCCCACCTGCCCTGCGTCTGGCATACCTGTAGGTGTGGCATTGCTGTTAGATATTGCAGTACTGCAAGTGTCTGTGTGGCACTAGTTTTAGATACTTGTCAGTGGTGTCGACTAACTAGTGTTAAACAGTGTGGCACAGATACTGGTGGGGTCGAGTGTGTCGGTGTCGTTTACTCACCGGCAATAGCGGGGTCCAAAGCATCAGCGTTACCACTGACGCTGAAGCTGTAGTTGCCGGCCGTGGTGTTACGTTCCCAGATGATGCCGCAGTAACCGGGCGCCATCTCTATACACACCCCGTAGTCCAGGTTGGCCAGCTGACGGGTACCTATGGTAGGGAGGGAGGGTCAGTCTATCTATGTACACTGTAACATGAATTATAGTGGTGAGACACAGATAAGGATTATATTTGTCAGCCCGAGTATATATATTATTAGTTGTTATTCTACCTAACCGCATAGGAGAATTAAGAGTCATGAGATATTTTGTGTAGAGTCAAGACCCGTCTGCTGGTCAGAGGAGTTGATTTCCACAGTGGTTCATGTTGTGAAAAATTGATCCACATTCGAGTCATGTTCTGGTATGATCGTTATTGATATATTGCTGATTTTCAAAACGAAACAGCCAGGGTGAATGTGACGTCGATCGAGCTCCTTCTACTGTACCATAAGATACGATAGGGGAGAGGTCATCCCGGAGAGCAGTGCATATTCTGGATGTGAAACAAACTTATGCCGAGCGCAGAGTTATGCAGTTTTTGCTCTCCAGTGGTTGTAAGATGTATCGCTAGTTTCTTTGGTGCATTATTGGTTCTTACAACAACCTGTTATTCATCGGTGCACCAATCCCTGGTATTGCTTCACTCTACATGAGGATCACTACCACCAGTTTATATACCGACAAAGTGCGGACTTCGCGTTGGAGGTTTTGAAGGGTATTCAAGTTTAACTTTATGTAATGGGAGTACGTCCAGTTCCCTGAAGCACAGCAGCCCCAGGTGGGCGACTCGGTCTCTGCCTCATGTACGACTGTCCACTGCAACAACCATGACTGATTTTGGAATCATCAAGTGCCTGGAGTACATAGTCGAGAGGTTCAATAGGAGATCGACCACAGTAATCTCCTTAGATAATTAAACTCTCTCATTCAGTACGAGATGTTAGTGTAAGGGCGTATGGACTGGAGTGGGTGTGTACTGTAAGATGAGCAGTGGCCCAAGTAGACACTCGATCGGGTACTACTATAGGAAAACACACAAACACCGGCTGTTAGAAGGATTTAATACATTAGGTAGTTCATTAAGGGCCATTTACTGGATAGGAAAAGTTTCAAACAAATTATGTAAACAGATGAAAGATGTCTTTGTTAACTAATGGGCGGCATAACCTGTTTTGATTAATGGGCGGCACAATTTGTTTTGATTAATGGGCGGCACAACTTGTTTTGATTAACGGGCGGCACAACCTCTTTTGATTAATGGGCGGCACAACCTCTGGATTAATGGGCGGCACAACCTTGATTTATGGGCGGCACAACCTGTTATGATTAATGGGCTACAATATGTTGACTAATGGGTGACTGACCTTCGGGTGGCGTCGGTGCAGCATTGTTGAAGTTGAAGCTGTTGACGGTACCGGAAGTGGCCGTATAGTACTGCAGACACCCGCTAGGGGCTGACCCACGCCCAGAGGAGAAACAAGTGAGCACCATGAAAAATAGGGAACTAAAATTAAATGCTTACAATTTTCGAAAAAAAAAAACATTAGCCACAGGTATTGATGGTAAATAATAATACTTTGTGGGGTAAAAAGAACATTTGACCGCTAGAAAAGTAAAAAAAAAGTACATATATATTATGATTATACATTTGAGATTTTAGAAAGAATAAAACGAGCAACGTGATGAAACGCTTTACATCCTCATAAGATTTTAGTATGTGAACGGTAAACAAGCTCGATATGTTTAGACTGTTACAATCAAAGTAAAATCGAGAGAAAAGGCCAAGCAGAAGAGCATCAGAAAACCGACCTTTTTTGCTTAAAAATTCTTTGATAATACAGAAATAAAATAATATGACTATAAATTTGAACTCTTCTGAAAATATCTAAAATATCTTGATACTGTATTGTGTTGGTGTTAATGGTGTGTGTGTGTACAGTATATTGGGGCCAATATCTGTGACGTGTGGATTCATGGGTGAATGATACTTTGTGAGTGTATACATGTGTACATTTGTATGCATTTGTACATGTGTGTGTATTTTGTATATATAATTTTGCGTGACTGTGTGAATAAAGTTGTACATGTGTACAGAAATATACGTAATTGTAGACATGTGTGTGCGTATTTTGAGTGCCTTGTATGCGCCTCTGTGTATACCTTCGTGTTACAGTACATCATGTGCACGTGATGTATGTGTACTTATCTTTACAGGTATACAGTACGTACTTGCGCGTGTATGTACGAGGATACATGTATATGTATGTCCTGGTGGATATACAATAGTCAATAATACAATTGTGAGTGCATGTGTGTAGTAGGACACACACACACACACACACACACACACACATACATACACACACACTTGAAATGATATTCATTTGTTTATACATGCGCCTGTATACTTGTAGCAGATATCGTGCTAAAGTCGTATTTATAGAGTGTGTGTGTGTGTGTGTGTGTGTGTGTGTGTGTGTGTGTGTGTGTGTGTGAGGTACTCACCCTGGTACTCGGAGTCACAAGGGATCTGCCTGATCTTGATGTCCCATGATCTGGGAATGGTGGAGGCAGACGAGAGATCCACCGTCAGCCTGATTGGTCCACCTGCCGGGTCCACGTCCATGTACACTGTGGACCACACCTAGTGTTACACCCTGCTACACCTTGTCATGCATGGCCCGCGTCCACCTGCACTATTGAAGTGTTATACCCTGCCTTATACAATCCACTCACACTGTCGACCACATCCTAGCTAGTGTAATTCCCTGCCGTCAAGGTCCATGTATACTCTCACCAAAAACTTCTCGAACGCTATAAGCATTATGCCATCTGAAAAATGAACGAAGAATCTGAAACCATTCCGATATGACAAGCCCCATTCTGCTCATTCTCACATCCATGGTGTCCAGGTGTTCGAGAAACTTTTGTTGAGTGTGTTGAGTGTGTACAATGTGGACTACACCGTTGGCTTCACCCTCTGCCATGCATAATACCAGTGAGCAAATTTTTAAGTCAGTTGTGCTGTAATATAAATAAAATTAGACGTTACTTGTTGCAAGAGTAATTTCGAGGCTGGATGTTCATTTATAATTTAAATATAGAAGTCAGAATTTCGAAGCTGTAGTTTAGGTATTAAACGCTGATGATTAGAGGTTGGAAGTTAGAAAATGGAGGTTGACTGCTGGAAGGTGGGGGGTGGAGAGGTGAGGTTGGACGACAGAAATTGGTGGCTAGTTTCGACGTAAGTTGAAAGTGTGAGGGAGACGGTTAGGTACTGAATGTTGGAGGAGGTACTGAGTGTTGGAGGGGGTACTGAGTGTTGGAGGGGGTGCTGAGTGTTGGAGGAGGTACTGAGTGTTGGAGGGGGTACTGAGTGTTGGAGGAGGTACTGAGTGTTGGGGGAGGTACTGAGTGTTGGAGGGGGTACTGAGTGTTGGAGGAGGTACTGACTGTGCTGGTCGTCATTGTCGCCACAGATCCTGGGGACGGTGCTGGTGGTGGGCGTCACCGTCAGGAAATCATCGTTGCAGTTGCCGTTGATGTCTGGCTGCGAGAGGTTGAAGTTGAGGAAATCGAGGCGGATTTGGCAGATGTTGGAGTTGACGCGGTTGATGGTGAGGGTACAGGCGCCGTCTGTACCCGTGTCCGTGCCGCTGTAACTGGGGTTTACGAAGTATGTGTTGTTGTAGTTTGACGACTGGGAGCACGTGTGCTGCGCTGTACCACCACGCGGGTTACACAAGGGAGATCAGTTAAGTGAATACAGAAAATGGTTTACAGGATACAGAAAATGGGATACAGTTCACATAAGCCATAATCACAAGTCAAAAGGCATACCTACCTTATTATCATAAGGTAAATTATTCAGGCCAAGTGCCTGCTGCGAGAACGTATTCCTCTTATCCCAAGACTACTGTACGGCAAACCAGATCCTTTTATTAGAGCATCTTTAGGTATACACACAGGAAATCTTGTAAGCCGTCTTCCATTTTAGGCCCTTACCCAGTAGATATCGTATGGGGCCCTAGTTTGAGTCTCCGTCACGACTCTAGAGCAGTGGTTCTTAAACTGGGGGGAGCGCCCTCCAGAGAGAAAAGTCTTGTCAGGAACCGAACGCGTCTTGAAACGATTGCTCATCCCTCCCACTCTATAATAACTAAGGGTTGCATCAGGGGGTTGGGGGGGGGGGCGTGGGATCTAGGACTTATGCAAAAAAGTTTAAGAACCACTGCTCTAGAGCCTGGCTTTTTACTCCTCTGCCGGGCCCTTTGACATGATCGGGAATATAGGGGAGTAGATGCCGTCCGTCAGTCAGTCAAAATGTTTGTTCTTTTTTCATAGAGCCCCGGAACTCTGCACCTCCCGAAAATGATGCGGGGTTAAGTATTCATGAAAAATTAAAAATAGGTAAAACTTCAGATCTGTGTTCACGGGAACAAAGATGTGTGACAATGATGAAGTGAATGCAGATGTCAAGATGAAAATAAAATACATGTTGCATATGTACAGAATTCCTCTCGTTCACCTTTGGTGTGAGTTCAATGGACAGGAGTAATGTACTGCAAGGTCTCCCTTTTTACACTGTGATCTTTGAATAACACCTCACTGCCTAACTATGGAGAGTGAGGCTTAGTCCACCATCCCGTGACGACTTCACACACTCCATGCGGTATGACTCACGCAGGACAAATGTATTCTTCTGGACATATCACTAGCTACTGGACCACGTTTCATAACAACACACCGTTTTCAAAGTGGCTACAACAATAATTTAAGAAACTTATACATAAGGTGACAGATCCCGTAGATATGATATCAACGTTTGGAGCTGGACCTTACAGATATCACAGCGACGTTTTGCCAGAAAATTCAGAAACTGCCCTTACAAAATAGATGATAGTAAAGAGAACATTAAATAAATATATAGACAAAGTAATGAATAATCATGGAAATAATATAAGAAAAAAATAACTAAGGAAAAAACATAAGTCAAGACAGAAAGTCAGACAAGACCTGGAGGGGAGCTGAACTGACCTATACAGCAGGCGCCGTAGCCTTTAGCGCAGGTTCCGGAGGACGTCCCCCCGTTCCTGGTGCAGTCCTTGGACGGGAGACACGTGCCCATCGTGTGGGTGGTGTCTGACGTGACGCACATGTCTGGCTGGATCTTCAACAGCACCAAAAACACTGCACGAGAAAAACGATGATACATTATGCGAGGAAAACTATAAGTAAACAAGGAGGTGTGAAGGTGCATGGGTAGCGGCATTGAGTACCCCAACCAAGCGCTCCAAGGGTTGAGATAAATGCTAAGGTTACGAGAGAGTTATTTCTTTTGTACGATTTTAATTGTTGAAAGACTGGTGTAATTATTAATCTCGTTACGTGCTTAAAGATCTTAGTTGTTGAAGCGCAGTAATAACATTATACAGTATATTATACAACGTCAACAACACCTTATTATATACAGTAAAAAAGCGAACGCATGGAGTAAGAGAAAAAAATTTATGAACATATTAGTTAACAAATAGGTGATATATATGAAGTAAAGTGATAATGGGTCAGCGTTCTAACAAATTGATTTATGCATTCTGTTATATCAAATCGACTTGGGGTTCAGGTACGATGCATTACACAGTTTTTGTGGTGTTATGTTTTGTATTTTTTGTTTTGTCATTATAGTTCTCGAATAATGAATTTCCTGAATAATGTGATAACACACGCTCCGTGTCTATTTTACAAGTGTAAAGAATTTCTTGAAACTTAAAGAAGACATTGGTAGTCTCAGGGGGTCTGGCGAATTTAATATTGAGCATAATTTGAAGACCATCTTTTTTAACTTGTGGGAAATAACGTAGAAGTTGAAGATGAAGCACGGAAGTCGAAGGTTAACCAAAGAAGCTCAAAGATTTGATGTAGATAAGAGATTAAATAACGTAGAAAGAAGACAACGCTAAAAACTAAATATTAAAATAACAGAGGGAGAGTGAAGCACCTTTCTCTTCTCTGTTACTACCAAGAGCAGCTTCTTCTCCCTCGTGCAGCTGCTGTTCCTGCTGTAGTACGCTCACGCCCTCTTGGTCTGAATCTGAGGGTGCTGTTGTGACCACACCCACCAGTAGTACCACCATCAACGTCAGTCTGGTTCCGTGTGTCTGGAGGGAGATACCGAAATGAAATTAGCTTCAGCTGCTGATTGTTGTGACAGTGTGTGTGTGTGTGTGTGTGTGTGTGTGTGGAGGGGGGTATTTGTACAGGTTATGTATGAATGGAAATGCAGATCTGTGAGTAAACGAACATGAGACAAAGGAAGCGTGTAACGTGTAACACCACAATGGATGAGGCATATGTTCAGCTGTGTATATGTATGTATTGATGTTGTATATGTATGTATGTATGTATGTATGTATGTATGTATGTATGTATGTATGTGCATGAATTATAATTATGTAAGGTTAACTTGTGGGTGCTACTTATTTTTGCCGACCAGGAGAGTGTGTAGTGAGAGGCACGCCAAAAGATAGAACACAGACACCCACACACACACACACACCCACACACCCACACACACACCCACACAAACACAGAAGCAGTGATACAAATAAGAGAAACTCGTGCAGTGACCCAGAAAGAAACGAAAGAAAGATAAGAGAGAGTTGAACTTTTGTTTTAAGTGATGAGTGACAGAGATACGAAGAGAGATAGAGTGTGTCATGAGTGTGGTGAAGTTGTCGTGGGTGTGGTGAGTGTGTGTCATGAGTATGGTGAAGTTGTCGTGGGTGTGGTGAAGTTGTCGTGGGTGTGGTGAGTGTGTGTCATGAGTATGGTGAAGTTGTCGTGGGTGTGGTGAAGTTGTCGTGGGTGTGGTGAGTTGTTGGGTGTGGTGAGTGTGGTGTAGAGTGTTGTCGAGTGTGATGAGTGTCGTGAGTTGTGTGAAGTTGTGGTGGGAAGTTGTGTGGGTGTCGTGAGTGTGTGTCGTGTTGTGGTGGTTGTCGGGTGTGGATGTGGGTGTGGTGAGTGTGCCATGAGAGTGGTGGTGTGATGAGGTGTGTCATGGGTGTGATGAGTGTGTCATGGTGTGGTGAGTGTGGTGTCAAGTGTGTCAGTGGTGAAGTTGTCGTGTGTGGTGAAGTGTGTGGGTCGTGGGTGGTGGGAGTGTGTGTCATGAGTGTGGTGAGTGTGTCATGGGTGTGGTGAGGGTGTGTCAGTGTGGTGTGGTGAGTGTGTGTCATGGTGTGTGGTGAGTGTGTGTCAGTGTGTGGGTGTGTGTGTGTCATGGGTGTGGGTGTGTGTGTCATGGTGTGGTGAGTGTGTTCATGGGTGTGGTGAGGTGTCGGGTGGTGTGTGTGAGTGTGTGGGTCTGAGGGTGGGTGTGTGACAGGGTGTTGGTGTAGGAGGTGTGTCAAGTGGGTGTGGTGAGGGTGTGGTGAGGGGTGTGTCAGGTGGTGGGAGTGTGTGGTGTGGTGAGGGTGTGGTGAGAGTGTGTCATGGTGTGGTGAGTGGTGTGTCATGGGTGTGGTGAGAGGGTGTGGTAAGGGTGTGTCATGGGTGGTGGGGTGGTGAGGGGTGTCATTGGTGTGGTGAGTGTGTGGGTGTGGTGAGTGTGTCGTGGTGTGGTGTGTGTGTCGGGTGGGTGAGGGTGTGGTCGTGGTGGGTGTGGGTGTGTGGGTGTCATGGTGTGGTGGAGAGTGTGTCATGGGTGTGGGAGTGTGTCATGGGTGTGTGAGTGTGTGTCTCGGTGTGTCATGGTGTGGTGTGTGTCATGGGTAACAAGGGGTGCGTGTCATGGGTGTGGTGAGTGTGTGTCATGGTGTGTGGGTGTGGTGTGGTGGTGTGTGTGGTGCATGGTGTGTCATTGGTGTGGTGAGTGTGTGTGAGGTGGTGAGGTGTGTCGGGTGTGGTGTGTGTGTGTGTGGTGTGTGGTGAGGGGTGTCATGGGTGTGGTGAGTGTGTCATGGGTGTGATGAGTGTGTGTCATTGGTGTGGTGAGTGTGTGTCATTGGTGTGGTGAGTGTGTGTCATGGGTGTGGTGTGTGTGTCATGGGTGTGGTGAGGGTGTGATAGAGATAACGGGTCTGGGAATGGTCGTGACAAAAGGCTGACCCCGTGACTTGTTACCGTTGATCGCTTCCCTCACGTCTCAGGTGGAGGGAAAGTGAGGCATGGAGGCAGTCAGGGGAGGATGAGGCAGGAAGGTGAGGATGGGGAAGGGAGAGGAGGGTATGGCAAGGGAAGGAGGGGGTGAAGCAGGGAGGATAGGGTTTGGCAGGGAGGATATGGTGTGACAGGGAGGAGAGGGAGGACAGGGAGGGGAGGATGAGGCAAGGAGAGGGGAAGGGAAATGAAGTAAAGAAGGTAGGGTGAGTCAAGGATGCGAAGGTGAGGAAGGGAGGGAGGGAGGCCAGGAGAGATGAAGCGACTCCCCCCCCACACACACACACAAGCCGTGACCACAGGGTGTGCATGTTACACCAGCTGCTCCCCCTCGTGTTGTTTACTTGCTGCCGTTCCGCTTAGAGGAATAACTGGTGATAATCGGCCAGGTGGCTGATGATATGAGAGAGAGAGAGAGAGAGAGAGAGAGAGAGAGAGAGATTTATGAGTATTTGTGAAAGAATATGTTCATTAGTGCCTTAAAACCTCGTGGTGTTCTTTTGTCTATGTGCAGTAATACACCACACGGATTAGCCACATGTTAGATATTTATTCTCTGCATATAATAACAGGAGTCAACACTGAGGAGATTCTGGCACTGGCGAGCAAGCATGACGGAGCCAGTGTACAGTATTAGACAAACGTAATATAAATTATAACAGTAAAGAAGAGAGATTGGTTGACCTCAGCTTTCCTCGTCAGTCTCCGGGTAACAGTCTAATTCAGAGACACGTTCTTGTCGCCAACACAGTGCGATAGATAAGAACATAAGAAAATAAGGAGTCTGCAATAGGCCGGTTAGCCTGTGCATGACAGCTCCTGTCGAGAGTTACTACCACTCTCTATCATCCATGAATCTATCTAGGCTCCTTTTAAAACTTTCCAGCGTTCCAGCACTTACTACAAAGTTGCTAAGCTTGTTCCACTCTTCCACCACCCTATTTGTGAACCAGTTTCTTCCTATCTCCCTCCTAAACCTAAACTTATCTAACTTGAATCCGTTGCTCCGAGTCCTATCCTGCTCGGATATTATAAGAACTTTATCTATATCCCCTTTATTGATTCCTTTCACCCACTTAAATACTTCTATCATATCTCCCCGCACTCTTCGTCTTTCTAGGGAATGCAAGTTAAGTTTCTTTAACCTATCTTGATATGGAAGGTTTCTAAGTCCCGGAATCATTTTTGTCATTCTTCGCTGCACCGACTCTAGTGAATTTATAGCCATTCTATAATAGGGCACCAGAACTGAACCGCATAATCGAGGTGCGGCCTGACTAGCGCAAGATATAGTTGCAATAAGACCTCTGCACTCTTGTTACTTACACTTCTAGATATAAAACCCAATACTCTGTTTGCCTTATTTCGAACATTAACGCACTGTTTTCTAGGCGGTAGGTCCGCTTACAAGCACCCCTAGGTCTCTTTCACAAGTCGACTTCTCTAGGTTGATGTTAAGGCTGTATACATTATAAGTATTTGTTCTTCCAATATTAAGTACGCTGCACTTGCTGGTGATGAATTTCATTTGCCATTTTTCAGACCACCCCTGCAGTTTATTTAGATCCTCCTGTAATGCATTTGCATCCTGCCCTGAATTAATTTGCCGCCCTATTTTGGTGTCATCCGCAAACTTGCTTATGTCACTGCTGATCCCAGTATCTAGATCGTTTATGTAGATTATGAACAAGAGTGGGCCTAGTACTGACCCCTGGGGAACCCCACTGGTTACACGGCCCCACTCAGATTTAACATCATCTACGCTGACCCTCTGCGTTCTATCGGTGAGCCATGATTTTATCCAATTTAAAACTTCCCCTCGATACCATGAGCCTTAATTTTTCTCAGAAGCCTCTGATGCGGTACTCTGTCAAATTCTTTGCTAATGTCTAAGTAAATAACATCGTAATTTTCGTCATTATCTACTACCTCGAAGACTTTCCTAAAAAACGTTAGCAGATTTGTTAGACAAGATTTTCCCTTTGTAAACCCATGTTGAGAGTCGTAGATTAATTTGCTTTTCTCTAGATGCGATCGGATGGTATCTGCTATAATTGATTCAAGAAATTTCCCCACTACTGACGTCAAACTGATCGGCCGGTAATTTGCAGAGGTCTTATTGCAACTATATCTTGCGGTAGTCAGGCCGCACCTCGATTATGCGGTTCAGTTCTGGTGCCCCTATTATAAAATGGATATAGATTCACTAGAGTCGGTGCAGCGAAGAATGACAAAAATGATTCCGGGACTTAGAAACCTTCCATATCAGGATAGGTTAAAGAAACTTAACTTGCATTCCCTAGAAAGACGAAGAGTGCGGGGAGATATGATAGAAGTATTTAAGTGGGTGAAAGGAATCAATAAAGGGATATAGATAAAGTTCTTATAATATCCGAGCAGGATAGGACTCGGAGCAACGGATTCAAGTTAGATAAGTTTAGGTTTAGGAGGGAGATAGGAAGAAGCTGGTTCACAAATAGGGTGGTGGACGAGTGGAACAAGCTTAGCAACTTTGTAGTAAGTGCGGGAACTCTGGAAGGTTTCAAAAGGAGGCGAGATAGATTCATGGATGATAGAGAGTGGTAGTAACTCTCGACAGGAGCTGCCATGCACAGGCCAACCGGCCTATTGCAGACTCCTTATTTTCTTATGTTCTTATGTTCAGCCAAGTGTGCCTGACTGGCTGTTGGAGACACGCGTCGCGGTGTCACACTCTTACAACAGACAGGAACAAACATGCATACATTTTGTTAGCGGACTTAAAGTTACCGGAATTAAATTTAGCGGAAGCTAATTGGTCCGTTAATGGTTTCCAAAGTTAGCGAAAACGCTAATCCGCTAACGAGAAAGTTAGCTTCGCTAATTAGCGGTTAGTGGATTAGCGAAACCGTGCCCACCACTGGTCCTATCCTAGCACCAAGTCGGAGTCTCAATAAAGAAGTTGATTGTCCGAGAAACACCAAATTTGATCTAAGTATTTTTTTTACCATCTCAATCGCATCAAGTTGGAATTTGATTTTTAAACAAGCAGTTAGTAATCATTACGCAACAAAATTTGAATAAAAAAAATAGTTCATAGGTACAGATTATTCGAGATGCACAGGTAGTACAGTAGTGTTAATGGACCCCGTCAGACGTGTAGGTAATAAAAGGGTTGGAGTTCAGTTTCAGGTATATGACTACGGTGAAGTGTTTCCATTTCTCACTTTTATTCACTTCGTTTCATCCTGTTTTCCCGTCTCTCTCTCTCTCTCTCTCTCTCTCTCTCTCCGTGAAAATAAAGCTGTCACAAAAGTTGGTTAACACCCATTGCGCCACAGTGAAGTTCAAGGGGCCATAACGGGACAACAATAACGGAAACTGATGGTTATGAAACTCGTCTAAGACACCTGGTATTGTTGGAGATACCAGGCACACAACTCGTGGACGAGCGAACGCATGCACAGACAGGCTAGAGTAAACGGACGGAAGACGGGCATCCCCATATGTCTGCCTTCCAGGACAGCGGACGATTATTGATTACAGGGAGTTCCACCTATAGCCTCTGCCTCTCTACCAGGGAAAGTAAGAGAACACTGCGGTCAATATCATTACCTGTCTTAATTTTATATCTTAAGACAGTGTTAGAATAAATCAATTTGTCCTTTGATCCCTAGTGGCTCCTGCCAGTGCTCGCCGCCGTCACTCTTGTGGCATGGTACATAACACAACAACTACAACACTGGTAGACCACAGTAAAATGAGGCGTTCAATGGTTATGCAAGTTTCAGGAAGACAAATTTTCTTCGTTTATATGAAAAGTAATAGTGCCTGACACCCCGATAGGAGCAGTGGATCTAATCACAGCTGAATGAACTGGGGGTACTCCTGGCGTGAACCAACGAGGCTTTAGACAGGAGGCGAGCGCTATATTCACTCCACCAGACAAAAATTCTTCCTCCGATGTGAAAATTCGTTTGACTGTATACAATATGTGTATCACGGCACAAGGCTTTGGCCGACTCCAGTGTTAGATGTGTCACACCACCTGATGGGAAAGACTAATCGTAATGCATGTATTAAGGTTATGTAATATCAGTAATAATCATGATACCATTGGTGTTGCAACACTTCTCATGAGGTGAACATACAGTGATACATCTAGTGCCAGAGGTCTTACAGCAACCGGGTTTGAATGACGATCTTATTTTTGTCGTCTGGGAGACTAATGGTAAAACTGACCAGTGGCGTAAACTGTTAGTGGTGTCTGGTGATGGAACAGCGGAGGTGACTCAGCTCCTCGACCCTCTAGGAGTGATGGTAGTATTATGTCGTGAAGGTCCTCCTCGACCACTTAAGGATCTCCGTTATGGAAAACTGTTTATGTAACTGTATATACTGTACACCTGATGTTATTACACGAATTTTGTTACGGACAGAAAATGGAGTGAACTTTTCTCAGAAACTGTCTATTACTTTCGATGTCAACTATTACTTTATTTTACTTGTCATACACCTGCGAGTGGCAACCGCTGACAGGTACTGCGAGGAAGTATTCGACCATTAAATTCAATAAGAATTTTCGTGTTCTTATCTCCAAGTACAGTAATTCGTTTGAGTGATAGTACAGTATATGAAATTTTTTTTTACCTACATGTAAGTTGAAGTTGATTCAAATGTGAATTGTATTCCCAGACAAATTATTACTTCAGAAGCGTATATCAAGTATATGTAGGTATACTCCTGGATATAGTTTCCTTGAAATAAATATTTTATATTTTTCAACTAATTTCTGTCTTGTGTTAAAATGTATCTCACCACAAGCATTCCCTATAACAGTATTGGTATATTAGATAAGTTGCAAACTTTAAAAGGTAAAACATTTTGAAGTTTTGAATATTTTAATTATGCTACATCACTTAAGTTACACAGCATTATAACTGAAGGTGGTGTATGTCACAGCCAAATCTTCTCAGCCAGGCTATGATAAGGGAAGCAATAAAATGCCGGTTGTGTGAACTGACTTGATATTCAGTATCTTTCGTCTTATTTTTCCACAGTTATGGTTTCTCTTCAGCTCTGAAATGTTGGCTGCGGTATTCATTCCTTCAGTGATGGTCTACTGCGTGTTTAATGTTGCCCCCATGTATATAGTTGGAAAGTACCCGAAAATGTTGCTTGTCCATCCACTGAAGTTGTAAACACTAACCAATCTTTGGGACAAATTTGTCTTTTGTGAGCCCCTCCGCGAGTTTCATAATCATCATTTACTCTTGTTATTATTGTTATTATTATCATTATTATATATATATATATATATATATATATATATATATATATATATATATATATATATATATATATATATATATTTATATATATAGATCCACAATGAAAACGTGGATAAGATAAAGATATCACAGGGTAGTTGTTTTATTCAAGACATCTTCAGTTGCTCTGAAGATGTCTTGAATAAAGACGAAAGCTAAGGTGCCCTGTTTCTTTCCCGTGTGTGATATATATATATATATATATATATATATATATATATATATATATATATATATATATATATATATATATATATACACTAAATGGTTCTATCATTTCCAGAGGTGGAACTGATATTTAGGAAAAATGAAGAAGAGAAATTAAAGAATATCACTATCAGAAAAGAGGATGCTCTTCAGAAGATAAATAAATTAAAGAAGACAATATCCCCAGGCCCGGATGAAATTTTCCCTCGAGTTTTGAAAGAGTGTAGGGAACAGATTAGCGGACCCCTCGTAAATCTATTTACAAAATCATTAGACACGGGAGTTGTGCCAGACTTGTGGAAACAGGCAAATGTAGTACCCATATTCAAAAAGGGAGACAGAGCATTAGCGTCAAATTACCGGCCGATTAGTTTGACGTCAGTAGTGGGGAAATTTCTTGAATCAATTATAGCAAATAGCATCCGATCGCATTTAGAGAAAAGCAAATTAATCTACGACTCTCAACATGGGTTTACAAAAGGAAAATCTTGTCTAACAAATCTACTGACGTTTTTTTAGGAAAGTCTTCGAGGTAATAAATAATGACGAAAAATTACGATGTTATTTACTTAGTCTTTAGCAAAGAGCTTGACAGAGTACCTCATCAGAGGCTTCTGAGAAAAGTTACAGTAAGGCTCATGGTATCGAGGGGAAAGTTTTAAATTGGATAAAATCATGGCTCACCGATAGAACACAGAGGGTCAGCGAGATGGTGTTAAATCTGAGTGGGGCTGTGTAACCAGTGGGGTTCCCCAGGGGTCAGTACTGGGCCCACTCTTGTTCATAATCTACATAAACGATCTAGATACTGGGATCAGCAGTGACATAAGCAAGTTTGCGGATGACACCAAAATAGGGCGGCAGATTAATTCAGGGCAGGATGCAAATGCACTACAGGAGGATTTAAATAAACTGCAGGAGTGGTCAGAAAAATGGCAAATGAAATTCAACACCAGCAAGTACAGCATACTTAATATTGGAAGAACAAATACTGTCAATGTATACAGCCTTAACAACATCAACCTAGAGAAGTCGACTTGTGAAACAGACTTAGGGGTACTCGTAAGCCCGGACATACGGCCTAGAAAACAGTGTGTAAATGTTCGAAATAAGGCAAACAGAGTATTACGTTTTATATCTAGAAGTGTAAGTAATAAGAGTGCAGAGGTCTTATTGCAACTATATCTTGCGCTAGTCAGGCCGCACCTCGATTATGCGGTTCAGTCCTGGTGCCCCTATTATAGAATGGATATCAATTCATTTAAGTCGGTGCAGCGAAGAATGACGAAAATGATTCCGGGACTTAGAAACCTTCCATATCAAGATAGGTTAAAGAAACTAAACTTGCATTCCCTAGAAAGACGAAGAGTGCGAGGAGATATGATAAGTATTTAAGTGGGTGAAAAGAATCAATAAAGGAGATATAGATAAAGTTCTTATAATATCCGAGCAGGATAGGACTTGTAGCAACGGATTTAAGTTGGATAAGTTTAGGTTTAGGAGGGAGATAGGAAGGAACTGGTTCACAAATAGGGTGGTGGACTAGTGGAACAAGCTTAGCAACTTTGTAGTAAGTGCTGGAACGCTGGAAAGTTTTAAAAGGAGTCTAGATAGATTCATGGATGATAGAGAGTGGTAGTAACTCTCGACAGGAGCTGTCATGCACAGGCTAACCGGCCTATTGCAGACTCCTTATTTTCTTATGTTCTTATGTACATTACTACCTGGTCTCCCAAGAGCTCCAGTGAGGGCCAACCTCCATGGGTCCAGTGTTAGCATAAGAGGAAACCGGAGTACCCGAAGAAAACTTACGATGTTCGGTAGGATCTCATCCTTCTCACATTCAACCCAAGTGAGTATCGAATCGAGTTACAGTAGCGAGAAGTAAGTGCGATACCACTGTGACATCGATTATGACCACTTTTGTTTCTCTTTGAAGGCTCCCGTCCGGCTTTGTAAAGGTGACACCTCGAAAATTATGACAACTGATGTTTTGAGGGAGTTATGGCCTACTGGTACTAGTGTGTCTTGGGAGTCTTGCTGCTTGGATGCCCAGCACCATGGGTGAGGGGCCTGGATTTTGCTTTACACTGTCTTCTGCTTAAACCACCACCGAAATCTCACATTGAATAGACTAAGCATTATTATCAATTTAGAACACTTAAGAAAATTATGAAATCTTAAATTAAGCAAAATTTATTCAGTACAGTTTATATATCGTAACGTTACGGGTAAAGGCACTTGCAGACACTTGTACATAATACTTTCTGTGAAGCCTACCTTCATGGCGATTTTGTACGTTCCTCACTTGGTACGATCTTCACGTCAATGGCTATTCTTGACTACTGAATGTGACCCAACGGTGGTGGCTCTTTTAAATCCCCTGTCGCGCCGGTATTTAGGTTGGTGGTGGAGCCTCCAGGCGGCGCTGGTCGTGCGCCCCTCAACTTGTAAACAAAGACTGCGACGCGCTGGTTGGCGGACCTTTACTTTAACACCCGGACGAGGAGAAAAACCTCAAGGGTATTAATGATGATAATAATTACAAGAATGCAGATAGTAACATTATTAATGATTATTATGAGAATGATATTGATATCAACAGAAATTTTAATTAAGAACGGGTTATTGTAAGTATATATTGTAAATACAGCTTTTATAAGTTCAGTAACTAAATTTAATATTTAACTCCTTGGATACTATGAGAAGCTCTGTACTGAAAAAAAAATCGTCTGGTGTTAGCCATATAAACTATCAAAAGTGTTGTCCGGTAACGAAGGGGTTAGGTTAGGGAGTTCTTTCTGGAGCATTAGTTTAGTATTTGTAACAATAGTAGTTAATTTATCTTAGAAATGCAATAACAGAGAGACAATGATCAAAGCAACCAAGAACAATTTTGAAGAGATGTTATATGGTCCACGCACCGTCTAGGAGGCTGTCATCAGTACGATGTGTGTGTGTGTGTGTGTATGTGTGTAATAATAATAATAATAATAATTAACGGTTTATTGAAAGAGCTTGGCAGCCAGAAGGCTGAAAATATACAGTTACATATTTGGGGAATGGGTTACGAATTACAAATAATATACAAGTGACATAAGTGACACAAATAAGACATATAGTAACTTAGATGGGGATCAGCTCAAACTACAGTTCATTTCAACATAGTGACAGTGTAGGGAGCAGTGTTTACTGGGAGTGAATACACTGATTTATTACATGTTATTGATAATTTTTACAATGGTTGGGACTGGGCTGTTCTTATAGCGATCAGTTCGTGCACGTATGGGCTGGATGCGGTTGTGGTGTCGAACAGCAATTCTCGGACAGGGGATCTCAGGTGGTAGTAGGGGCCGGTGTCGGGGATGGTGTAGAAGCTTCTTACCAAATTTGCAGATGAGGCCGTGGTGATGGTCAGTGAGAGTCGAAAGGGTCAGTGTGTTGAGCGCTTCTTGATATGTGGAGTAGGAAGGGGAGAGAATAATCTTGCATGCCCTCTTTTGCACTTTTTCTAGGTGTTTACGTTGTGTGGCATTTGTGTGTGTGTGTGTGTGTGTGTGTGTGTGTGTGTGTCCCTCCCCCCTAACTGGGAGTCATGGTGACGTGGTGAAACTGAGCGCCTTTGTGTCTCCCCCTTGTATATTGTCCTCCTGACTGACCACCATTTTTCATTTTCTCTCGCCACCAGGCTGGGTGTGTCAAGTGTTGACCACTTGTGTATGTTATCGTCCACCAGTATATATAATATATGTAAACATTTAAAGAATTAGGCATCACGGGCATGTGGTCCTTCCTAAAACGAATTTCGTTACTGTTATTGAGCATTTGTGTTTTGCTCATATTCATATTCACATATAACTTTGGTCATATGATTAAGGATGAGGGTAATAACAAATATTAATGGGCAAAGTTGAGACTGGGATGGATAAATGAAATTAAAAACTGTGTCCCCAGAGAGATACAAAACCTTGGAGAATTGGTAAAAACAGCCCGAGAACATTTAGAGTGGAAGACTGTGGTCGCCATCCCTCAGATACGAAGACGGTACTCTGATTGATTGATATATAGAAATATGGCCAATATTCAGCAAACGAGCCTAAATCATATACCGGTGTTATGTGCCTAAATCGTATTCCAGTGTTTGCAGAATAATCACCCGGTAAGTGAGTACAATGACCAGATTAGGTTAGGTCCGTTTAATTGTTTTTGATACCACATTTTCTTTCTGCTTTGAAGCCCTGCTCATCTTTGGTTATAACTCAGTAACTATGCATTTCCCCACACTTTCATTATCACATTTGTATTCAACATGAAAAACTGCTCTAAGACGTTGTTTACCTTCAACATACCTGGCGTTACACTATCTCATTTAGGTTCGATATTGATTCAGTTTGGAAGAAGACACGGACTTTTTTAAGCAACTGTACAACACATCTACCGGTAAGTTTTGGTCCACGTAGTCAGTTGCCGTTTCATGAAAAGTGAGTAAGTTTGTCAGTCAGGATTTTCTTCCCATTAAACCGTGTTGTGAGGCAATGGTGAGACTGTGTTCGGTCAGGTGTTGGATGATGGCGTCCCTCAAGATTTCCTCAAAGAGTTTGCTTATGTAATGTTGGGTGATCGGCCGGTGGTTTTCTACTGCACTTTTTCTATCTTTCTCTTAGACTGGGGTGACGTTGGCTGATTTCTAGCCCCTAGGCGCTTTTCTTTGACCCTTGGTCTGTACTCCGTCCACTTCAGGGGTTTTGAATTCTTTCAAGCTAGCCATTTTCTCTTTGGTGAAGCTGCAGATAAAGAGTGGCTAGCCGAGAAGTAGCACAGGTGACCCTGGGGCCAAAATAACTCGCTTATATGACACCTGGTGAAGTGATCATTGCTCCTGCGTGCTGCTGGGACGTATACTGTATGTGTTAGGCATTTATTTAAGGCATGAGTGTTTCATCCACTGAAATTTCCTACCCTTTACAAGTTTCTCTGTTATTTAACACCAAACCGAAAGAGTGGTCAACAAACTTTCTTCTGTCATAGTAACGCAGAGTACACAATACTTGTCTGACTCTCAAAAGTTGCAAACTGTTGTCCTCAATGGGAAGGTCTTGACAGCGATTCTCCGGGGTGTAGGAAATATCGTCATGGTGGACCAAGTGTATGAAGACATGGCCTCAATGGCGGCCATTATGCATCAACTTCGCTTATAAAAACAAGAAGAATCACCACGAGAATCTTGAGAGGAGAGTTGGGATTCTCCAAGGTAATTCTTCTACACATTCTGAATAAGTTGCAAAGGAGAATCCCAAAGAATGTGACTTTTGAATTCTTCTTTATTTACCAGGTCTGTCTACCTCGGGGTTTACCTCGCCTCTCGGTTGTAAACTCTGCCTCAAAGAAAGAAATTCTACTGATAATGTTCCTCCTGCTGCAGTAGGGAGGTATTGGCGGCTTGGGATGACCAGACGTTCTATGGCGGAATTGTGATGCTGAAGAGACGATGTGTGTGTGTGTGTGTGTGTGTGTGTGTGTGTGCGTGCGCTTGTGTATGTGTGCGCACGTGTGTGTGTGTGTGTGTGTGTGTGTGTGTGTGTGTGTGTGTGTGTGTGTGTGTGTTTAGATTATATGCGGTAGATTAATAAAGTTTCTTCCATACCCGTTTGACTCTTTTGACAATTTTAGAAATGCGTCAGGTGTCTCCTTAAAGCAACTCCCACGGGCTTGGCACACCTGCCAGAACGCTCTCCGGTTTGCTATACACAGTTACAGTTTTCTTTGTTTTCTCGTTGCACGTGATATTTTCAATAGAAAGCAGTTGATAGCTAAGTACTCAGACATCACTTGTGTCACGTACAAACACGACTAAACGTTTGTGCTTTCACGTGCGAGTGTGATGTAGCTGCACGCACACAGTGAACAAAAGCACCATGTACTGGCCGCCTGCAACAGCTGCGACTGCAGCACGCCTGCACGCTGGCCGCCTGCAGCACGCTTAGCTGCTGTACTGGCCGCCTGCCACTGGCTGCCTGCAGCACGCCTCAGCTGTACGCCATTACCTCCGCCCGCACACGCTCTGGTAGCTGCTGTACTGCCGCCTGCAGCACGCTCGGTAGCTGCTGTAGCCTGCAGCACGCTCATGGTAGCTGCTGTACTGGCGCCTGCAGCACGCTCATGATAGCTGCTGTACTGGCGCCTGCAGCATCGCCGATCTGCTGTACTGGCTGCCTGCAGCACGCTGTAGCTGCTGTACTGGCCGCCTGCAGCACGCTCATGGTAGCTGCTGTACTGGCCGCCTGCAGCACGCTCAGCTGGCTGTTGTACTGGCCGCCTGCAGCACGCTCATGGTAGCTGCTGCTGGCTGCCTGCAGCGCACGCTCATGGTAGCTGCTGTACTGCCGCCTGCAGCACGCTCATGGTAGCTGCTGTACTGCAGCACGCCCCTGTGCTGGCCGCCTGCGCAGCACGCTCATGGTAGCTGCTGTACTGGCCGCCTGCAGCTCGCCAAGCTGCTGTACTGGCCGCCTGCAGCACGCTCATGGTAGCTGCTGTACTGGCCGCCTGCAGCACGCTCATGGTAGCTGCTGTACTGGCCGCCTGCGCTCATGGGCCCGCTCATGGTAGCTGCTGTACTGGCCGCCTGCAGCACGCTCATGGTAGCTGCTGTACTGGCTGCCTGCAGCACGCCTCGGTAGCTGCTGTACTGGCCGCCTGCAGCACGCATGGTAGCTGCTGCACGCCTGCAGCACGCTCAGGTAGCTGCTGTACTGGCCGCCTGCAGCACGCTCATGGTAGCTGCTGTATGGCCGCCTGCAGCACGCTGGTAGCTGCTGTACTGGCCGCCGCAGCACGCTCATGGTAGCTGCTGTACTGCTGCGCAGCCGCTGTACTGCTCATGGTAGCTGCTGCACGCACATGGTAGCTGCTGTACTGGCCGCCTGCAGCACGCTCATGGTAGCTGCTGGCCGCCTGCAGCACGCATGGTACTGCTGCATGCAGCACGCTCATGGTAGCTGCTGTACTGGCCGCCTGCAGCACGCTCTGACTTTAACATTTGTTTACCGTCTTCAAGGTAAATACTGGTTAAATTAACTCAACTCTTTCTATTTACTATTTGAGATAAGGAGTAATAAGTCTTTTAGGGAAACAATACACAAAATATACAGTACTGGTTTGTGAAATATCCAGAACCTAATAACTGGATTTAATTAACTATACTGAATTTGTTTATATGTTTACTGCAGGTGAACAGATTACGTTCATAAGACTGCAGCGTCTACTACTGTAGGCGTTATTTTGTAGCATCAACTATCAAGCTTCATCTCTTTTTGTAACACACTACCACGTCTTTCCTTGTGTCTCCTTATACCCATTATGGCATTCAACAATCTTCTTGCC